AGGCTGGCCCTCCACCTGTGCGCTCAACCCCGCACCCTCGATGTCATTAAGGACTTCCCACCCCCACTGTCCCTTCTCTCTTCCTTCTGCATCATCAGTTTCCTCCCTCTCCTGGATTATTCTGACCCGCATACACACGTGGTCTAAAAGCTCCCAGCCTTGAAAAAATCCTTCCTTGATCCCACACTCGCCTCCCATGTCTGCCCCATTTCTCTGCTTCTTTTATAGCAAAATTCCTTGACGGCATTGTTTCTACTTCCTCTGCTCCCATACCCATGCATCGCTCCGGTTGGGCCTTTGTCCCTGACAAATCAGTGACATCGTCCTTGTCAAGGTCACCAGTGACGGCTACACGGCCAAATTCAATGTCAATTTTCAGTTCATGTTGTCTCAGTTGACCTAGCCTCAGCATTTGGCGTAGCTGGTGAAGCCCTTGCCCTTGAAGCGCTTTCTTCTCTGACCTCCAGGGCACCTCCCTCGCCTGTCTGACTCTCACCATGCGGGCCGTTCCCCAGTCTCTTTTCCTGCTTCTCCTCCAGTCCCTGACCTCTGCTCCCCGAGTGCTCCAGGGCTCAGCCCTCAGCCCTCTTCTCTTTCTGCACTTCTCTTTGGGGCCTCACCTAGATGACCAGCTTTAAAAAACCATCCACTTTTGGGCTTCCCTGGTGGCACAGTGGTTGAGACTCCACCTGCCGATGCAGGGGACACGGGTTCGTGCCCCGGTCCGGGAAGATCCCACATGCCGCAGAGCGGCTGGGCCCGTGAGCCATGGCCGCTGGGCCTGCGTGTCTGGAGCCTGTGCTCCGCAACGGGAGAGGCCACAACAGTGAGAGGCCCGCGTACCGCAAAAAAAAAAACCCCACAAAAAACCATCCACTTTTTACTGGTTCCTCAATTTATATTTCTAGCCCTTACCTTCTGCTGCCTTCAGGCTGGTTTATGCTATTACCTACTTAGTATGTTCTTGGATGAATCACGGGCATCTCCCAAGTAACATGTCCAAAACTGAGGTACAGACTGCCCTTCCAAAGCTGTCACCTCTGCAGTCTCCCACAACGCCATCCTCCTAGTTGCTCAGGTCAAAACTTTGGAGTTATTCTTACTCCCTTTCTTTTTCTCAAACCCCATATCCAGTCAGCGAATCGTGTTGACTTCACCTTCAAAGTACATCCAGAATCTGAGCACTTCTCCCCGTTTCTGCCTGACCACCCTGATGCCACATTCCCCTTCTCCGGGATGATAGCAATGGCTCCCTAACTGGCCGCCCCGCTTCTGCTTTGGCCTCTTCTAGTCCATTCTTCACACAGAAGCCGAAGAAGGCCAGTCCTTTGGTCCCCCGATCATCAGTGGCTTCTCATCATCTCACGGAGGGAAGGACCCAGTGCAGCACCACCTGAGCTGGCTCTGGACAGGCATCTCATGCAGCTCCTCCCATCTCTCCCCATTTACTGAACCCCATCCAGCCGGCCTCCTTTCTGTTGCTTGAACAAGCACGCTCTTGCTTCTCCATCTTTGTTCTGGCTGTTCCCTCTTTCTGGAATGTTCTTCTCCCAGATATTGGCATGGTTGCTCACTCACTCTTGTTCAGATCTCAGCTCAAACATCCCCCCTTCAGCGAGTCCCCCACTTTTCCGACCACCTAATATAAAATAGCAGCCCTGGGACTTCCCTGGTGCTCCAGTGGATAAGACTCTGCGCTCCCAATGCAGGGGTCCCGGGTTCGAGCCCTGGTCGGGGAACTAGATCCCGCACGCATGCTGCAACTAAGAGCCCACATGCCGCAACTAAGAAGTCCGCATGCCGCAACTAAAGATCCTGAATGCCACAGTGAAGATCCCGGGTGCTGCAACTAAGACCCAGCACAGACAAAATAAATAATAAATAAATAAATATTTTTTAAAAAAGACTGTCACCCATAGAAGTCACAGCTATTAAAAAAGAAAAACAATAGCAGCCCCTTCCACAACTCCATCACTCAAAGCTATTTCACTTTCTTCATAGCACTAACCATTATCTGAAATGATCGTATTTATTTCTTTACTTGTGTATTGTCAATCTTCCCCACCAGAATGAAAGCTGTATGGCGGCTGGAACTCTCCCCAGCAGCTAGCACAGAGCCTACCACGTGGTTGCCAGGGCTGCCACGGAAGGTTGTGAAGGTTGTTCACTGCACCAGAGCTCCTGGCTGATGGGCCGGTGGGTGCCAGTATCCAGCCTGCTCTCCATGCTGTGGGGCATCTAGCAGGTGGCCTTTTGCTATTTTGCAATGCTTGCCATATGGGCTTGCTGTGGCTCTGTGGTGGGCGTTTAGTAAGTATTCATTGAATAAATGGCTGACTAATGGATGGGTAGACCTTTACTTGTTTTCTTCTGTGGGACTTAACGCAAATTACCATCTCATGGCCTCATTTTATTCATCTGTTAAGGAAATAATTAACATCTATCTCATAGTACAGTCAGGAGGATTAAATGAAATAATTCATTAAAAAGCTGGCCCAAATCTGATTACATTTGTAGGACATATCCAGAATAGGCAAACCCATAGAGACAGAGAGCAGATTAGACGTTGCCGGAGGCTGGGGAGGGGGAAATGAGGAGTGATTGCTGAATGAGTGGGGAGAATCCTTTTGGTGTGAAGAAAATGTTCTAGAACTACATAGAGTGGTGGTTGCACAGCATCCTGAATGTACTAAATGCTACTAAATTGTGCACTGAAATTGACTGATATGGTGAATTTTTTGTTATGTGAACTAGGTTATGCCATGTGAATACCTCAATTAAAACAACAACAACAAAACCACCTGGCACAGTGCCCAGGACATGGTAGGTGTTCAACGAATATCTTTTGAATCCTGTGATTTCCTTGCTTCAAAATCAAACCAAAACCCTAAAACTTCCTTGGCTCTTCACTGCCCCATCCAGGATAATCTCCACTTTCGTCTCATTTATTTCAAGAGTATTTATTGTTGTCATTTTAGACATTAGGGATTTGAAGGGGAACAAGACAGACACAGACCCTACCTCCAGAGTTTACAGGCTCATAGGGCACTGTGACAAGTAAAGAGAAAATCACAATGCTGTGTGGTCAGGGCTATGGGGGAGAAGGGCCAGGGTCTTCAGGGGGCACAGAGCGGGGAGGAGGGATCCAGGCTAGGGTGCATCTAGATAAAGAGGACCTAAGCTGGGGCCCATGTGATGGGAGGAACAGTCAGCCAGGTGGGAGGTGGACATGTGGTGGGGAGAGGATGAGGTTAAGGTTGGAGGAAAGCAGGGGTCCCAGGAAGCGCACATGCAGAACCTGGGAGATGAGAGCATGGCGGGTTCTAGGAATAGGGGACGGTTTGGTTGTGACCGCAGCAGAGTGTGAGGTGCAGGTGGGAGAGTTAGGAAGGGGCCATCGGCGGCAGGAGCTCAGACTGGGAGCCAAGATCTTCGAGGTCCTGCATGAACTGGCCTCCACTTTCCAGCCACAGTTCTACCGTGCCCCACTTGCAAGCCTTGGCAGCAGCCCTTGCTCCGCTGTGCCCTGCGGGTTCCTGTGAACTCCTGTGCCAGCATGGCTTAGCTCATGGAACCCTTCCCCCCTTATTTATTTACTGAGAGCCTGCCCTGTGGCAGGTGCTGGGAACCCAGAGACTGTCAAACTTGGCTCCACCCTGGGAGAGCTCCCCTGCTAGTCCAGGTGGGGAGGCAGCACAGGAAGAAACAATTACGAGATCGTGAAAGCAATGCTGTGACAGACGGTGCTCTGAGGATGGAGGAGGCGGGGCTTGCCAAGTGGAGGCGGGGCTTGCCAGGGTGGAGGCGGGGCTTACTGGGCTAGACGGAGGGCTCTGGGAGCGTGACTCCATGAGGGTCTGAAAGGACAAGGAGGCGCTCGGCCTGGGGAAGAGGAGTAAGGCAAAAGGTAGAGGTTCAGAGCCTAGCTTTGTGGGGTCACAGGATCCTTGAGATCCAGATAGAGGCTTGTACCCTGTTCAGGTAAACACACATACACACAATAACCCCCCAAGGGCACATACACACTCCTCAAAAGGCCTCTGAACTCACACTCCGCATTGACCTACACACACACACAGACTCGCTTACATACTCTTGCAGGCAGTTTTGCGTCTTCTTGGTCCCTCTGGCTTTGCCTGGAGAATGCCTACCCCCCTCCCGTCTGGTTCCGGCCGGCCGCCTACACAGGCGGTCCCTCTTCAACTCTGGACTTCGTACCTGTCACCGGAAATTCCCTTGTTTATCAGGGCCGCCAGCTTGAGCGGCTGCCTGCTGAAGCCTGCCCCCTCTCTGGATCCCAGCGGCACTAAACCCCCAACCGCCCCCGCCCCCGGCACTGGGGGTGGGGGTGAGGCCTGCGCCAGAAGGTTCTCCGCAATTCTTGGGAAGGTGTAGCATAGGTCCTCCCTATTGGAGGCTCTGCTCTCCGCCCTCATCTGCGGCTTCGGCCCCGCCTGGCTGCTGCGCCCACAGGTGAGTCGAGCTGCAGTTCTGGCCCGCCCACCTGGCCGGGTCCTGCCGGCTCTAACTGGAAGCTCCTCCGCGGACTGTGCACAGTTCCTACAGGTGGGGAGCAGAGGGAAAGACACTCGGGGGGCCTGGGGTGGGGAACCCACAGATCCCCGAGGGCTCCTGGGAGCAGGAAAGGAGCTACAAATCAGGGTGGGGTGTGTTTCTGTCGGTGGAAGAAATGTGACCAGAAGGGGTGGGGTGACAGCCTGAGGGTGTGTGTGTGTGTGTGTGTGTGTGTGTGTGTGTGTGTGTCCTTGGGAAGAATTCACCGGGACAGGGCAGGAAGGAAAGGAGTAGGAGTAAAATCTTAAAAACGTCAGGTTGAATTCAACTCATTTCAATTTAACAAAATCCTTCTTTTTTTTTGAGGACCCAGTGCCTACTGCCGGGCTCGTGGTAGGCACCCAATGAATGTTTGCTGATGAATGGATGAGTGAATGATTTACTCCTCCTTTCTAATGACCCCCCGCCCTACCCCCATGTCCACTCATCTCACAAACATGTACGGAGCAGCTGACTACTAAGCTCTCTGCCAGCGCCAGGACGCACGTTATTCAGCCCAGTCCCTGACCAGGGAGCTGCCCATCTAGTAACTGGCCAGTTCTGACTGGTGGCTGACTGGGCAGGGCAGTGAAGGGGGTGATGAGAGGGGCCCTGGGATAACCTCACAGTCAGGTATGGTCTGATTTGACCTTGAGGGATGGGGGACTCAAAAAACAGGAGGGGGTGGCTGGGAAACAAGAGGGCAAGGCAGGGTGTGTGTGTGTGTGTGTGTGTGTGTGTGTGTGTGTGCGTGCCTGCGTGTAGGTGCGTGTGTGTGTGTGCGCGCATGTAGGTGTGTGTGTGTAGCACGGGGAGGGAACTGGAGGCTGTGTGCTGGATTGCGAGGACTTGAAGGATGTGCTGAGGAATCTGCACTCAGCCTTGCGGGCCTGGGGAGCTTGTGCAGGATTTTTAAGCAGGGGAGTAATGGGGTCAGATTTGAGCCATAGGCCCATCACTCTGAGGAATGGATGAGAGGTGAGGAGGAGGTTATTGCAAGAGTTGAGGTACAAGATGAAGGTGGCTTGGACTGGGGCAGTGGCGGCGGGGTGCAGAGGAGGGGCATAGGCATTCTAGGGATATTGAGAGCAAGAACTCATGGGGCTTGGTGGCAATGTGGAGTTGAGGAGCGAGGGCATCATTACAGTATTGATATTAAGGAGTATGGCCGGGTACTCCCCTAAACTAGGTGCTTCTCTCTTAGGTGCTTTCCTAGCCTGGACACTCCTCCCAGGTCCTCCTCTGATTCAGATACCTCCAGCCCCAGCTGTTCCTCCTCCAGGTACTTCTGTAACCCAGATGCTCCCCAGAATCAGGTGCTGCTCCCCCAGACCCTCCTCTGGCCCAGATGCTCTTCCTCCTCTAGGTCCTTCCCAGCCCCTAGTGATTCTCAGCCAGATATTTTCCTGATCCAGTTGATTTACATTTGGCTACTCCTAGAATACAGCTCACCACCCCCTGGGGCAGAGGTGAAAGGACAAGGAATGTGCCTGAAGGGCTGAGGGTAGCGGTGGTGGGTGTGGACGCAGGGCTTCTGACTCAGGAGCAGAGGGGCCAGGCTGTGTCTGGAGTTTCCTGTCCTGGGTGGAGCCCAGCACCGTCCTCCATGCGTGGTCTCCACTTTGCCCATTAGCTCCCAGCAGTTGCTGTTGCCCAACCTCTGGAAGCCAGGACTGCCTCTGCCCCACCTACCATCCTCAGCTTACCAAGCAGGGGAGCAGCCTGGGTCTGGGCCCTGGCATCAGAGACCTGGGTTCAAGTCCTGGGACTTTGGCTGAGTTAATTCACCTTTCTGGGCCTCAGAGTCCTTACCTGGAGAGTGGGGATAATGTTTATGCCCTCATTACAAGGTTCTATAAGCACGTTGCCTGGTGACTGAATCATAAGTTGTGCTCAGTAAATTCCAGCATTGAGTTATTTTTCCAGCCGCTTCCAGGTGTTCCCTTACAAACAGCCAATTCCCGTGGCTCGGCTTGTTTTTCTCCTGCGGGCAACTGGTTATGGTCAATTTTCCAGTCTCCGGAGTTTGTGCAGCGCCCTCACACAGCTGTGAGTGTGGCCTGGAACATGCGCCCTGTGGCCATCCCTGACATCCAAACGTGTGTGTTTGTTCCAGGACTCTGTGCCCTGGGGCTGCCTGGCGTCTGGGAGTCTCCTTAGAGCCAGGGCTCTTCTGGCAGAGGCTGAAGCTCACCAGTGTCTTCCGGCCCCTCAATGAGTGAGGCAAACCAAAGTGAGTGACAGTGGGAGGGAGGCTGAGGAGGGGATTGGGTACCCCTTAGGTGCTGAGGTTGCGGGGAGGAACTTGCCCCACGCCTCTCAGTTTCCCCAGGGAGCCAATCGGGGGCCCCATCCCTAACACTTTCCCTTTCTCCGCAGCCACTGTGGAGCCCTCGGAGCTCCCCACAGCATCGGCCGTATCCCCTGGACTGGGCAGTGGGGCCCGGGCATGGCCTGTGCTGGTAGGGGTCGTGCTGGGGGCTGTGGTCCTTTCTCTCCTCATCGCACTTGCTGCCAAATGCCACCTCTGCCGCAAATACCGTGCCAGCTACCAGCACCGCCCGCTGTCTGGGACAGTGAAAGGGGTCCGCCCCGAGGTGGGCGAAGACGATGATGATGGTTTCATCGAGGACAATTACATTCACCCTGGGGTTGGTGGGCTGGGGACGGAGGCCAGTAGGGACCACTTCTCCCTCTGAGCCCTCATCTTCGGACCCCCCCACCCCTATGCCCGACAGCTTAAGGACAGGAGATACTTTGTGGGAACCACAAGCCTCAGGGACTTGGTGGCTAGGGCTTAAGGGCGGAGCAGGGGTAGATCAATCCCCCCTCCCTTGACACTAGCCACCAAAGTGAAACACCCTCTCTTGCTCAGTAACCCTCAATGGCTCCCTCCTGTTCTTGGGATAAAGCCTACCAAGGCCCTGGCTGTGAAATCAGGTCTCTGTCAGCCTTTGGCTTCCTTTCCTGCCTTTCCCGACTTTACTCCCTGCTTAACCAATTATTTGTTATTCCTCCCCCACCTACCATGCTGCTTCTCCATGGACCTTTGCTCACACTCTTCCCTTGTCTCCCTGCCCTTCTCTTCTCCCAAGTCCTTTATGACAGTGATGAGAATCCCTGGCCAGTAGACCCCATGTGGGCTGCCTACCTGCCAGCATTTCACATGTGCCCAGGTGATAACGTCTTAGCAGGTGAAAATCACTGTGCCAAGTTTCTCAGGGAGATTTTTTTCCTATCAATCAAGTGGTAATCTAAATAGTTATAATATATTATGTTTTTCACAGATACTAATAAATCTATTTTCATTTTAAATAAAAATAGGAAGAAGTCACTCATTTTTTATTTTCCTGAACTGAAACTTGTGCACAAACATGTCCCTGTCACTCAAAGCCATGACAGTGCTCGGACATCCCCTCCCTGGGACACCTTCCCGGAGCCCCTCCCTTCCATAACACCTGTGAGTTTCCCTACCAGTCTCTTACCACGTTTAAATTTAATCTTTATTACAATTTGCACTAACCCCTTACTGGGCTAGACTGTGAATTCTCTTGAGGCCACAGTCTGCGCCTTGTTCTGTGTCAGAGTCTCTCACACGGAAGATGCTAAATAAATATTTGTTGACTTTGTAGAACTCCCGTGGGCTGACAGGCGAGTGGATGAAAGGTGAGGGCGTGGAGTCTACTGTGGAAGACTTTATCAAGAACCTTGGCAGAGAGAAGGACAGAGTCATGGTTGCTGGGGGGGGAGTTTGGGGCAAGGGAGGCAGTTTCAAGACGGCAGAGACTTGAGTTAAGCTTCTTTGGTTGCAAGCAGTGGAAAGGAGTTTTGGGGGTGAATTAAAGGGACAGCTGACTCAGGAGGGCAGGAAGCAGGTGGTCCCAGCCGCCTGAGGTCAGGCATGGGACCTCTAGTGCTTTGTCATTTATCGGCACTTATGAGGCTCCATGCCTGGGACTGCCAAACTCTTGATTCTGGGTCTCAAGCATTCAGGTGCTAGAATCTGATTGGTCCAGCTTGAGTCAAGTATCTACTACTGTGGGGCTTCCCTGGTGGTGCAGTGGTTGAGAATCCACCTGCCAATGCGGGGGACACGAGTTCGAGCCTTGGTCCGGGAAGATCCCACATGCCGCGGGGCAACTAAGCCCGTGCGCCACAACTACTGAGCCTGCGTGCCACGGCTGCTGAAGCCCGCATGCCTGGAGCCCGTGCTTCACAAGAGAGGCCACCGCAATGAGAAGCCCATGCACCGCAACCAGAGACAAACCCACGCACAGCAACAAAGACCCAACAAAGCCAAAAAAAAAAAAAAAAAAAAGTATCTACTACTGGTGCAACCAGTTCTGACCAGTGGGGGCAGGCTCCTGTAGTCCACTTGTGATTTGGGGATCCCACCTGTTTGTTCCAGGTCAGTCCCAGCCAGAAACGGGGAAGTCGTCGGGAACCAGGCAGCCACTCACATGTGTCCACCGGATGCAGTGTTAGCCTTTGAGGAGAGAGCCAGTGGAGAAAGAAAGTGATGGCTGACTAATATAGGGGGGTTCTTGAGGAAAAGGCAGGGGGTCCAGGAGGGCTGCAGTGTAGGGTCCAGGGTGCCCGCGCCAGTGATGAAGCTGAAGAGGGGGATGCCGTGCGTGGGGATGGATTGCAGGGGAGAGACCCAGACATGACGAAGGTGTGGTACAGGGAACAGAGAGATTCCAGAGGTGTGACAGAGGCAGGGTCACATCTGGAAGGGATGGGGGCGGATGGCAGGTGTGGTTGGCAGAACTTTCGGCTGCTGGACGTGGGGAGTAGGGAATCAACGAAGCCACCCTGGTTTCTGACCGGCTGGCTGGGCACTTGAGGAAGAGCAGGTTTGGGGGGAGTGAGGGTTCAATGCCAGACATGGGATTTCCAGGGGAGAGATGCCTGGGGCAGCTGGATTCACAGGGCGAAGGCTGGTCTGTAGATGTGGGCTAGGGAATCATTGACAGTAGGTTCCCTGAGTCCCAGGGAGTGAATGAGATCACCAGGGAGGGGCCGGGGTAGCGGAGGCGCTGAAGACTGAGCAGGGAAACACTGGCAGAAGAGGGTTCGACTGCAGAGGAGCACGTGGCAGGAGAGCTTGGCGAGAAGCCGCCAGGGAGGAGGGGAGCCCAGCCGCAGCCATTGTTCCTCAGTCCCGAGACAGCTGACCCCCTCGCAGGCCCGGGAAGGCCCTGTGTGGGCCCCAGCCCGAGAGCCCGCAGAGGAGGCTGAGTAGCAGAGCATGTCCTGGCCTCTGGGGGAGGAGCTGCTGGGAACCCAGGTGGGTCTGTCCCCTGCCCTCATGCGTTCCCAAGGTCCACCTGGAGGGGCTGCCCTGCCTGAAGTTCGGGGCTAGGAAAGAGCTCGGCCGTCCCCATTTTCACATCTTCTAGGGGACTTGAGTGAGAACCTCTGAGGGATCCAGGAGAAGGTAAGGGCCCAACCCCAGATTAGAAGTCACTTTTCTGAGCCCAGCACCAAGAAGAGTTGGAAGGGAAGGCTTCCTCTCAGAACCAGCTGTGGGTGGCAGGAAACTTGGACCCTGAGAGCGGCCCTGCTGGATTCCCCTGAGGAATGGTTCCCACTGAGCTCCGCATGCCTGGCCCCAGGCACGAAGAGGGAGCACCACCTGGGTCCACAGGTTCAAAGGCCCGGGGATGCTGGAACTGCTGGGAGGCCTCCCTCTGGTCTGCCCTCCTCTGGCTTCAGACCCTGATCCCAGCCCGTCTCTGCCCCCGGCCCTGCACCCTGTCCTTACCCCTCAGCAGCTGGTATCACCTTCTCTTCCCAGGGAGCCCCAACCCAGACCTGACTGCAGAGGACAGCCTAGCTTCCTGGCTGCCTCATCCTGCTGCCCCCAGAGTAAGGCCACATCCATGGTCCTTGTGTGGAGGCCAAAGACAGGGGTCACACAAGCCACGGACATGAAGTTGAAGAAGCCCAGCAGAGCAGTAAACTGAGTTGAGAGCACAGACTATCTGGATTCAAATCCCAGTTCTGCCATCTACCTGCTGTGTGACCTTGGGCAAGTTACTTACCTCCTCAGCGCTCCAATTTCTTCTCAGTAAAATGAGGATGATAATAGTACTTGCCTCACACAGTTTTAGAAGGATTGAATGAGTGACGTGTAAAGTAGAACTGAGCATCTGCAGGTATTAGCCATATCTGTATGGGCACCGCTGGGGCAGTTGCTCCGCGGGACAGGTGATCAGTCTTAATCCTGAAGGAGGAGCTTGCCATGCCTCCTCCTCCTCATTCTCTCCAGGCTGGGATTTGAACTTCTCTGTTTCCCAGGACTCAGGTCAGAAGATCCAGTTCAGAACAGCAAAGGACTTGAATTAGAAGTTCTGATGCCGTAGAATATAAAAATCACGACAACAATAACAATAATAATACTGATGTGTTAGCACTTCCTGACAACCTCCCTGCTGGGCAGGCATCCCATTTTATAGACTGAGAAGTTGAGGCTCAAACATGTTAACTGCAACTTGCCTGCTTCACTCAGCAATAACGCCCTCATCTCACCTCTAAGTCATGATCAAACAGACCCAGCGAAGGAATCTCCTGGTAGCTGGACTTGTTCCCACCCTCCCTGGGCTGGAGCCCCTCTGCCCCGTGTGAATGGGGGCCAGGAAGTTCCAGGTTTGGGAGAGCAGGCTGTGAGGGTAGAAGTGGTATGTCCCATCCCTGGCTGGGGAGGGGACCAGAGTGGGCCGGTCTCTGCCATGCCCAGGGCAGTCTCACATGTCCCGGGGAGCAGTCCGGAAGGCAACCCAGTCAGTGTGCAAGAACTGAGCTTGTGTTGGTCCCCCGAGGCCCGGAGGAAGCTCCTCGAGGGGGGCCTGAGGTCTCAGGTGGGGTGTGACTGGATATGATGGAAGGACCGCCTGGACTGGAACACATTTGGAAATTTCAGGAACATGTTCTTCCAGGATCCAGCATCCAGGTGGCCCAGGAGGAACATGTGGCAGGTCTCTCTCCCTCCACCTCGCCTGCCGCCCAGTGGGAGCTTCTAGGAGATCCAGACCTCTCTGTGCCGTCTCCAACAGCTCCTCTTGTCTTTTCCCCCAACATCAGTTTAGATTACAGGGCCCTTTATGTCAGCCTCCCTCTTGCTAGTATCCTCAGCTTACCTGCCCTGTCATGTCACCATTACACACTCCAGGTGACACTCCAACCTGAGGCCTGCATCCCGCCCTCCGCGTGCTGTGGAGGAACGCCCCCCTCGCCGCCCGCCTTGCCCAGGCCGTGCTTGTGCTTCCGTTCCTGCCTGTTCTTCAGCCTCCCGCGGGCTCTCAAAGCCTTCAGCAACCTCGCTGTTTTCTTGGTCATTCTCGGCAGCAGCTCCTTAAAATGGCCTCTGCCTCACAGAGAGAGTAGTCGTCAGTTTCCTGCTACAAAACCCACAAACATTCCTGTCCACATTCTTCCTTCTCTCCTATCAAAATAGCATTGTGAGCCCAATCCCTCCACTGTGGGCTCGATCCACCCTCCCCGCCTCCCCGCTCAGGGACTTGAAGACTGGCCTCTTCTCTGCCTTGTGTCTTCAACTTCTCTTTCAATCATCATGGACCCATCACATCTGTCCCATCCTAAAACTCCTCCCGGTAGTTAGTCACAAAGACCTGTCGGTCCCACCTTCTGAGCATCCATCGAACCTGTCCTGTCTGACTCTGTCCCAGCAGCCACCCCCACCCTTGTCCGAGCCGCGTCATCTCGCATCTGGAGGTGGCATCAATCCACCAACTGATTTCCCTGCCTCCATTTTTACCTCTTCCAATTAATTCTAATTGTCTTAAAATACAATTCCGGCCAGGCCATCCCTCTCCTTAAAATCCTTCACTGGATTCCTCTTGGCCTTAAGAAACTGTGCTACCTGCTAGGGAGCCTCTGAAACCCGGGAGGGGCCCAGGGATCCCCCCAGCTTCACCCTTGCCTCTTGCCAGCTGATACTCCATGTTCCCACCACCCAAACCTTCTGTGGTTCCTCGAAGGAACCAATTCTTTTGTCTCTGGGCCCTTCTGCGATTCCTTCTTTCTGGGATTCTCTTCCCAACCTTCTTGACCAGCTGCTTCTCATCCCTCAGGGGCCAGCTGAGATGGCATTTCTGGGGCTCTTTGGTCATTTTTTTTTTTTTTTTCTGCTAAGACCAATCCCAGCTTCACACTGCAGCCAGCGAGTCCCCAATCCTGTTCTGCTCAGAGTACCCCCCTAATTAAAATCTTTCCATGTTTCTCAGTGTCCCGAGGACAAAGTCCGAATTCCTCAGCTGGGCTGACAAGACCGTTTGACAGACAGGAGTAAAGGAGGTGTGATTTCGCAGGAGCAAGGTGGAGGCTTTCCTCCCCACGACTCTTATTTTCTCATGGCGAGCGAGGGAGGCCAAGTCATCTGCAGAGAGCAGTGTTGGGGGCTGTGAGGGGGTGATGTTGTGGTGTGAAGGGAGTGGAGAGAACTTGAGGGCGCTGTGGGAGCAGCAGCTGGCCAGGGAAACAGTGTAACTGGTAAGCTGAGTTTCAGACCTGGTTGAGGTTGGTGATGGGGAATCACGGTGACACCAGGCTGCCCGGCTGTGCAGATTTCTCTCATAGCTGGTTGGTGTGAGGGTTCATCCACGGAGGGGATTTTGCTGGGAGGGTGGGACCAAAGGTCAGGGGGCTAAGTTGTTGAGGACTCTGTCAAGGAGTGGGTGACACGATGGGTCACAGGATCTGAGCCAGATGGGAGATGAAAACAGAATGCGCTGCTTTAGAGGGACAGAGAGAGAGCAGAGGGGCCAGTGGATGACTGGTTGCCATGGGGACCAAGATGGGGTTTCGTGCACAGCTTTGAGCACTCAAGCTGGAGGTGGGAGGTTGTGGGGGTCAGCTTTAGTGAATCAGGAAGTATTAGCATTTCCGCCCCACCTGGGCCTCCACCCAGCTCCTACCATCCTTCTCATGTTGTAGTTGGGTGTGTACATGCCGACTTCCACTGCCCTTTGGAATAGGTCCACAGTGTCCCCTGTGGGCACTAACGATGCTCTTCATCTGGCATCCTTCCCAGGAGAGCCTGACACGGGCCTGGCCTACAGTAGCTGCTCATCTAGACATTTTCCTGTGTAACTCTTCCCCCCCCCAATTTTCTGTGTTTCTGTTTTCCTTTAGTTTCTTAAAAGAAATATCGTGAAAGAGTCTAACCCTGTCTTAGCTGAAAAGAAACAGGATTTATCCCTGTTTAACAGGAGGAAGAGGCATTCTGTGGTCCTCTAATGGCCCAGGAATTGGGTGATAGTGAGAGCTCCCTCTTGGGAGCCCAGGAAGAATGAGAGTTTCTAGAGAAGACAGTGCGGGGCCTCAGGAGGGAAAGATTCAGGGCCAACAGCGGACAATGGGCTAACTTCCCTACCCTTCCCAGTTATAGGTGGGTCTCACCAAGCCGAGTCCTTCATCCGCCCATCCACACCTTACTATGTGCCCAGGCCCGTGCCAGGACCGCCCGTGGTGGAGTCACGACAATGGTGCAGCGTGGCTGGCTCGTGGGTGTGTTGAGGAAAGAGGGAGGCCTGTCGTGTTGGGGAGTCTGCACACTAGCCTGCAAAAGCAAGGCGGAACCTCGGCACCTGAGGTCTCTAACCTGGATGCTGGGTGGAGGGTGAGACGGGGACCTAGTTCAGGGTAGAGAGGAGAGGGGCTCACATTTGAATATGTGGAGTCTGAGGTGCACGGAATTCCCGGGGCACCTGGACTTGCCCTACTCTCTGCTCACGTTTCTCCCTCCCAGGCCTGGCAACACCCTTTCCCTCATCCATTGGCTTAGTGTTTTCTCCAGGAAACTGCCTTGATCTCGGCAAGCCGAAAGCAATCTTCTCCTGTCAGAGCCTCTGTAGCTCCGCATTTAACACCTGTTAGGCAACACGTCTGTCTGGCTTCCCGGCCTCTCTCGGTGCCCCCCGTGGGGCTTCCTATAACCTTCACTTTGTGAAGCAGCAAGTGATGGAACAGTAACTGGCGCTCCTGGGCATTCCTCCAGTGGACCTCTGTCCTCGTCACACAGGAAGTGCCCCTGCCTCCAGAAAGGGAGAGCCCTTCCAGGGCTGACCCCAAGCAGGCAGGTACTCTCATGCCCAAGCGGGCGTCCAACACCCCTCCCGTGCCTGGAAACCCAGAGGCGGGTCCGCCGGTGCTGCAACTACACAGAAGAGGATGTCCTGGTTTCAGAGGTGGGGTTAGGAGCTGCAGCCTCCAGAGAAACCAGGCGATAAAACCCCAATACTTCAGGCTTCATCTGGAACCAGCACATAAGCAAATGAGGACTCACCATCCTCCCTGCCCACAACACCCTCTCCCTGGGACCAGAGACGCACTACCTTCCTGAAGCTAAGCATCCCCTCATCCCGTCTCCCCTCAGGCTTCCTAGTACCTATGAGGAGAGACCACAGGTCTGGCTGAGGATACCTTCAAGGCACCTTAGGTCAGCCTGAGGTAGGCACGATGTGTTCCCTTTGGGAGGGGTGGCTGGGGGTGGGGAGGGGAGGGGGAGGGGAGGGAAGGTCTCTTGGTGAGATGGTGAGATAAAGACAATACCACTAATAGCAGCCACCACTTTTATTGCACATCTGCCGTGTGCCCGGTCCTTCTATACGTAAATAATATCATTTGATCCTAACAATTGATGACCGTGACCATGACGCTCAAGAAACCGTGGCTCAGAGAGGTTAAGCCACTTGCCCAAGGCCCCCACCTGGTGAGTGGTAGAGGGGGGGACTGCAGCCCAGGCCTGTCATGCCGGAGCCTGTGCTCTGTCCACTCTATCACCATTCAGTCTCCTTGATAAAAGGGCTCACTGGCGCAGTCTCTGGGGCAGGCAGCAGCCTCTCCTGGGGAAATCCCTGACAGGTGTTACAGGGCAGAGTTGCCTTTGAGGGGTGTTAGGGATAGGGGCCAGGGATCTTCAGGGATCCCAGACCCTTCTCTGCCTAGAGGCCCCGGACACAGACAGGCAGACTGACGGTTCCCCGAGCTCCAAGGAGAAGCAGTTCCCGCCTTGTGACGTGGGTGTGTGGGTGCAAATCGGCCCCTCATCACAGTCACACAGTCACTCAGAGGGCTGAGCAGTCCTGGGGACACCCATGCAGTCACTCTCCCCTTGGTGCGTGTGCACACACGTGTGTGCACACACCCTCACTCGCGCCCGGGCACGGCTCTGTGGAGGCTGAGGCAGGTCACAGGAAGGAGGGCCCGGGCTCCGTCAGATGAGGCTGGCGATGCTGGACGTGGTCTCGTGATGCTGGCCAGCGGACAACCGTCCTGAGATGCTGAAGACGCTGCCATTCCCACTGTGGTCGCTGCGGGCGGAGGGGGCGGCCGCACGGGTAGGGGGACAGTGCCCGCTCACGGCCACCTGATACAGCAGCAGGCCCAGCAGCAAGAGCGCACCTGAGGCAGCCAGGGTGACGCCCACGGACAGCATGGCGGCCAGCGGCCGGGCGGGGGCAGGGGCGGCGGCCAGCCCTGCCAGCGTCAAGCCGGTGACCAGCAGCACCAGGCCGCTGAGCAGCACCACCAGGGCGTCGGCCCCGCCGCCGCTGCGGAGCAGGGCCACGTGGCGGGGCTGGCGGATGCAGTTCATGTCCTGCACGGCCGAGCTCATCAGCTGTTTAACCAGGACCAGCAGGGCCAGCAGGCAGAGCACTGTGCCCACCGCCAGACGCCACTCGCCCGAGCGGCTGCTGGTGGAGGACAGCAGGGCCACGCCACCCGCCCCACAGCCCGCCACGAGGCCCACGGCCACGGCGAAGCAGAGCGCTGAGCGCCGCGGCTGCTGGGACCACCACAGCTCCACCTGCTCTGCCAGCACATCCGGCGGCAGCCCCCGGCCCGGCGGGGCCCGAGCCTCTCCCTCAGACATGGCTGATCCGGCACGAGTAAGGGCAGAGGGCCGCGTCAGGGGGCAGAGGTACGGATCATAGCCTGGAGCCCCCACTACCTGCGCGGCGGCCAGAGGCCCAGAGTCCTGTTCCTCGCACGGTCCAGGGGATGGTCACCATCACCTGCAGGGGGGAGAATCACACTTGCTATCTCCCTGGCCCACCTGCCCCTTATGGTCTCTCCTGGGAGCCTTGGGGATGGTCCCTGGGAATCTTCCCATGTCCCCTGCAACCAACACCCCCCCAGGGAAACCTCCTCCCTAGCACTGCCCCCTCGGGAATGCGTCTCCAGAGATCTCAGGAGAGCTCCCTCCACCCAAAGCATCCTCACCCATCCAGGGAACCCCCTGCCCAGTCCCTGACCTCTCTGGCTCTGGCTGTCTCAGTTGCCTGTCCCATCCCGGCTGGCCGAGGGAGCTGGTGCCACGGTGGACGATGGGACTGGATGGAGACCCGGAGATAAAGCCCCATTCAGGATCCGACTCACATGGCCTCAGCTGTCACCGCTGGCTCCTGGGGGGAGGGTTGTGGGGAGGGAGGGGGCTTATGACTTAACCCTTCTGCAACCAGCTGCCTGACCCTGAATCTTCTCTCTTTGGGCTGCGACTCCTTCTCCGTGAGTCAGGATCTGACCCCCAACACCCCATCCCACCTCACAGGCATGGCTGCTGGTTCCCAAATCCCTCTCTCTCTCAAACCCAGATCTCCCTCCCAAGCTCCAAGACCCATAGGCAATTGTCACCTTGATGTCCCACAGGTACCTCTGATGCAACGGCTTCCAACCCAAGCTCGTCATCTTACCGCAAACCCACTCCTCCTCTTGTGTCCCTCCCTTGTGCGTGTCACCTCTAAACATGTCTCCGTCCCACTCCCTGCCCTCGTCCTCCTGCTTCTGCGTTTCAACCTCCCTCCCCCCAACTTCCTCACCGGTCTTCCTGCTTCCCCCACTCTTCTCCCTCTCACCGCACTCCCATGCCATCCTCCTCCACGATTTCTCTAAATTGGTACAAAGAGAAGGAGGGCTTTGGACTGGACCCCCAGCTGCAGTCCCTGCCACCGTGGGTATGTGGACGAGGGACCTCGCAGTGGTTCCTCATTGAACACATCCTCCAGAGGCCAGTGAGCATGACTCCCACTGGGCAAAGTATAGCAGCCCGGCCCCTGCCCTCAGGGAGCCCCAGTTTATAGCAGGTGTGTTCCTGTGATGAGTGCTGCCTGTGGGTTAGTCAGAAGAGGGGCTTGGGGGAGGTCAGAGAAGCCCCCAGTAAGTTCACCTCTTGGAGCTCAGGACCCTTATCTGAAAAGTGAGGATGATAACTTTTATCTTGAGGGGTGGGGGCATTAAAATCTCCAGGTCAGAATTCCAATGGGAATAGATGCCCAGAGCATGCTTAGATGCCCAGAGCATGCTTTCTGAATAAAAGAACACAACATTCTCTCCTCCCGTTTAGGACGGGACTCCTGCTTTATATATAGGACGCAGGTCCTGGATCATTCGGGACTATGACTTCATGGCTGTACGTGGGTTACACCTCTGATGAGGTATCCGTCCTCCACGATCCCTCAGCAGGGGTTGCCCCGCACACGAGGTAGGACGGGCAGCTGCAGGTGCCCCCAAGAGAGGTGGGGGAGGGGCCGAGGGAGGGGCCCTGGAATCAGTCCCAGCATTCCCCAGGGCTGTGACTTCACGGGTCTGAAAGTGCTTGCACAGGTGTGCCGGGACCATGGAGCCAGGCTGGGGGTGGGGTGGAGGCTCTCAGGGGAAAAGCCAGTGGGAGACGGTGAATGGTGGGGGTAGGGGGGACCACGGGGCACTCACAAGAAGCCTGGAGGTGCTGGATCCGATCTGAGCAGGCAGGGTGGGCAGGTGGGGCGCTCCAGCTCTGTTTCCGGGGAGGCGCTTCACCTGCCTGACCTGCACCTGGGTGAGCTCAGGGGGGGGGGGGGGGTGGGGGGGGAGGATCAACAGGTGTTTCCAAGGCAGGGCCTGAGACGATTGGCTGACGTGGCGCTGCTCCTTCTGCTGGGCTGAGGCATTCCTGGGAAGGGAGGGGCTTCTGTCCCTTGCTGTTAGGGCACGAAGACAATTTCCAGACCCGGGCAGCAGTAGGAATGTTGTCCATCTGCCCCAGAGCCCGGGCCGGGGCCCATCCCCCAGCTCCAACCCAATTTAGCTTTAGTTCCAGCCTTAAACCCAACCCCAGCCCCAGCTGCAGTTTCAAACCCTAACTAGAACTCCTAGCTCCAACCGAGGCCCCTACCCCACATCTCAGCCCCAACCCTGAATCTCAAATCCCAACCCTGACCCCCCAGCCCCATTTCTAAATCCAATTCCAGTCCCAGCCCGAGATCCCAACCCCAAATCTGGCTTGAAACCTCAGCTCCAAATGCTGGAATTAGATCTTAGATGGCAGCCTCAGCCTTGGCCCCAACCTTGACCCATGTTCCTGAATCCAGCCCCCAAATCCCGACTCCAAGCTCAAATCCTGCCTCAGCCCCAAACTCCAACACCAGCTGGCCCCCAAACCCAGCCCCAGTACCTCCATCCCTTGGCGCTTTCCCCTGGGCCGGAGCCCCACAAGCCCCTTGCCCATTCTCCTTCAAAGCCTCAAGGGCCTGACCAAGGGAGGTTTGTCCCACATTTTGGCCCCCCTGAGGAGGCAGGATTTGAGTGCACAGGGAGGAGGGGGTAAAGGCTTTTCAGGTGGGAAACAGGAGCTCCCTAGCTTAAAACACTTGCAGAATAAACACTTCGGGATAAATGCCATATTCCTTTACAAGGCTCACAGAACCCCTGCTATCCACCGCAGGCCAGTCATTTGCCCCTGGCCCCTGCCCTCCAGCCAGAATGCCTGTCTTTCAGTTATGTATGCTCTGCACTGCTCTGCCCTTCCGCTTGGTTTTTGAACTCAGAGTTCTCTCTCCCTGGGATATTTACCACGCCCCACCCCCAGCCTTGGTCTGGCTAACTCAACTTCTTCAACTGAGATGTCACCTCCTCAAGGAAGCCCTCCTTGACCTCTAGGCTGGTTCAGGTTCCTCTTTGGGGCACCTATGGCCCCCATGCTTCCCCCACAACTGCTCTTACTGCATGTGCTGTGATTGCCCTATTTATTCACCTGTCATCGCCCACTAGATGTGTGGTTCCCAGTGGGTGCAGGTTTAGTGGCTGTTTCGCTAACCCTCGTGACCTCAGCAGCCAGCACTGTGCCTGGCACATGGGAAGTATTCAGTAAACATGTGTTGAATGAATGAACTGTGAACTGCCAGATGTGGGGCTACACAGGGAGCTTGTGAGATGTAGCTGGAAAGGCAAGTTTGGCTCAGGTGGCACAGGGCCTTGAATGCCTTGGTGAGGCATTCGGACTCATCTGAGGTACTCATGGAGGGTTCCAAAGTATAATGAGGACATGGCCAGGGCTCTGCTTCTAACAAGTGAATCTAGCACCACACGCTACACGATGGGCGGCAGCGGGTGGGGGGGGCTAGTTGGAGGTAGTTGTCGGCTGGATTGAACCCCTTGTAATGCCTCCTGCTGTCTCTCCTTTTGGTGTGTATGAAATAGACAAGAAAAACAAAATCAAAGTTATCTTTCCATTATGAGCTCACAAAATAATTTTGCGGGACCTGTCCATGCTTCTCTTTGCTTTGCTCGGTGGAGATGACTGGGGACCTGGTCATAACTCTAGAGCAGCACGGTCCAGTAGAAATATAATACGAGCCACATATGTAATTTAAAATGTAAAATCGTCTAATAATCATGTGAAAAAAGGAAAGAGAAACAAGTGAAATTAATACAGTGAAATTTTAATTTAAGCCCCAAATATTTTCATTTTAATACACAGGTGATTGAGCTCTTTCAGTCTTTTATTTCGTCTTGAAAATTCACTGCGTATTTTATGCTTACAGTATGTCTCAGCTCAGACTAGCCACATGTCTAAAGCTCGCCACGTGTGGCTTGCAGATCCCTTGCTAGATGGTTCTTCCCCTCAAGGAAAGGTTAGGGCAGGCTGGATCTTGGGGACAAACATGTGGGTTTGCCACTTTGCAAAGCATTATAAAGGAGTTCCCTGCCCTGGGGTGAGCGGGGAAGAAAGGGCCTGGCAGGGCTCAGTGGCTTTGTATTCCTCTTGCCCCTCTGACATTTATTTTCCTCCTGGTCCCAAGGAGGGGCTGGTCCCAGCCAGACCCATCCATGTCCAGCTGTCCTGGATAGAGCTGGGCAGGGGAAGTCATGAGATCCACGCCCCCCTGCCCTCCACCGGCTTCCCTTGGGGGTTTGAAGGGAATTTTTTGGATGGAGGGAACAAAGCCTAAAAGCTTCCAGTTTAAACATTGATTGGGGCTTCCCTGGTGGCGCAGTGGTTGGGAGTCTGCCTGCCGATGCAGGGGACGCGGGTTCGTGCCCCAGTCCGGGAGGATCCCACATGCCGCGGAGCGGCTAGGCCCGTGAGCCATGACCGCTGAGCCTGCGCGTCCGGAGCCTGTGCTCCGCAATGGGAGAGGCCACAACAGTGAGAGGCCTGTGTACCGCAAAAAAAAAAAAAAACAAAACATTGATTGGGTGAGACTTTGTTCTCATTCTGGGTCTTATCGAATAACTTGGAGTTAAAGTGGACAGCAGGCTCCTTGCAGGGCTGTTGGACTCTGTCCCCAAAGCAGAGGCTGTTGAGGCAGCTCAGATGGGCGGTACTGAAGGCGGGGGAGGAGGTGGCAGTGGGCAGAGAGCCTGAGGTGTGGATTCTAACTGATCCCTTAGAACAGCGGTCCCCAACCTTTTTGGCACCAGGGACTGCTTTTGTGGAAGACAATTTTTCCACGGATTGAGGGGTGGGGCGGGGGATGGTTCCGGCAGTAATGCAAGCGATGGGGAGCGATGGGGAGTGGTGGGGAGCGGTAGGGAGCAATGGAGAGCGGCGGGGAGCAGTGGGGAGCGGTGGGGGGCGGTGGGGGGCGGTGGGGGGCGGTGGGGGGCAGCAGATGAGGCTTCGCTCGCTCTCCCACTGCTCACCTCCTGCTGTGCGGCCGGTTCCTAACAGGCCTTGGATATGGCCTGGGGGTTGGGGACCCCTGTGTTAGACGGTGGGAGGACCCAGGAGAAGGGAGAGCTGTAGCCCAGCCTGTAGCCCAGCCTGTAGCCCAGCCTCCCTGCTTTGGCCAAGTTCCCACCTCAGGCTATTCTCCACCCGGTAGCTAGAGTGATCCTGTTATAAGGTAGAGCAGGTAAAGTCCTCCAATGGCCTGTCTTACCCAGAGAAACAGCCAGAGTCTTCCCACAGTCTCTAAGGCCTTCTCCGACTTCACCTCCTGCCTCGCTGTCCCTCTTCTGCTTGTGCTTGCTCAGAGCCTTTGCACTGGCTGTTCCCTCCGCCTGGAGCTCTTTCCTCCCACGTGGCTCCCTCCCTCACCTTTCTTCAGGAAGGTGCTCAAATGTCACCGCCTCAGTGAGGCTTCCTTCCTGTGTCTAAAATCACAGCCTTCCCCCTACTTCCTACCTCTCTGCCCTTCATCCTTTGATTTTCTTTATTCTCTCATGTTTCTCCTTAGCACTTGTTGCTGTCAAATATGCTATATATTCTTATCTGTCTGGAATATTGTCTGTCTACTGCCCTGGAAGATAAGCTTCATGAACGGAGTGATTTATGCATCCTGGCTCCTAGAACAGGCCTGGCATATAATAGGTGTTCAAGGAATGCTTGTGAATGAAAGCATGAACAGTGGAGAGAATATTGGTTTTGGAACTAGATTGACGTTGAAGGTCCCAGTCCCAGCTCTAGCCCTGCAACCTTAGAAAAATGGCTTAAACTCCGTGTGTCCCAGTCTATTCATCTGTAAAATGGGGACAATAATACTTAGTCTAAATAGTTGGCGGGGGGGCGATAAGTAATATAATTCATCCAGCAAACATTTACTGTTTCCTTCCTCTGGACCAGGGATTGTGCAGGTGCTGGAGACGGTGGTGAGCGAAAGAGGTCCCATCCTTGCCACCCTGAAAGGCAGTTGGAGAATAAAGGGCTTAAAGCACAGGTGCAACACCAGGTCTTCAATGGCTCCAGGTCCCCTGCCCCCACCCCATGTTCCATGACTGACAGCTGCCCCAGACAGACATCTTTTGGAATATCTGCTCCACTCACAATGACCAACTTCACTACAGGGATGAACCCCAGTAACCAGCAGTCTGTCCTGTGACCCACCCCTATGGGTACAGTTGATTGGATAGTGGTGAGCTCCAGATTCAAGCTAGGCCCCAAATATTCTCCTTGGGCAATTTAAAGTTAGACTAGAGACTCCATGTCAGCCTTGGGGCATCTACTCATGGGATGCTAAGGGTCCCCTTCTGCCAACTTACTGGCAATGGGAGGCTGGTCTGTAGAGAGGCAAGAATAAGAGAGGGAGAGGGGGTTCCAGCCATGTCCCAGGTCTTAGTTCAAGTCCTTCTCGAGCTCTGGTTGTATCTCAGCCCTGAGATTCCATGACACACCAGGAGAGATCGGGGGCTTAATATTTGTTATTTGGGTATTAGAAGGGTGTCTGGCTTCTGCAAGTGGGAAAAGACAGGCACATCTGGGTTCTTAGTGCATAAAAAACCACCTCTCCTGGTATGTGTGGCTGGGCCACCCAGTATGGGGTCTAGAGAAAGAGGTGGCCCCCAGAAATTGAGGAGCAGGACAGGGCCCTGCAGACCGAGGATGACAAGTCTAGAGAGGCATGGAGGTAAGAGAAAGAAGGGCAGAGTTCTGCTTATAGTCCTGACACCAGGGTCTGCAGATAATGGAAGATGTGGGGGAACTCTACCAACTTTGCCATGTTCATGATTTTACTCTCACCTTCACACAGCTGTGAAAATTCTCAGAAAACCTCATTATGTTTCATAAGTAAGAAGAAAACGTAGGAGGCTTTGTCTGGTCCTGACGTGGCTGGCAGAGGAGCAGGCAGGTCAGAAGCGACAGGCAGCCCTGCCCTTGAGGTCCAGAAAAGAGTGGGGAGGGGCGTGGGATCTCTGCAGTGACAGGCAGCCCTGTGCCTGGACAGGGACTAGCAGTGGTGGCTTTGGATGAGCAGGAGCCCCCCGGGCCTCAGGGCCCCTCTTCCCTTCCTCCCTCCCCAGCTCCCTGGCTAAGCAGAGAGTTGGATGTGATTGTGGGAGAACACCTTTATTCTGCCCGTGTCCCAGGTTCCCCAGGGCAGGAGGGAGAGGCTGGTGTGTTCAGGGCTGCAGGGGCTGCAGCCCAGAGTCAGGCTGGGGATGGGAGCACCGTGCTTCTTCCGGCGTGGCTGGAGACGGCTCACCAGAGTGGGTCACTTGGTCTGCAGTTTTAAGTCTGCTTCTGCCCCCAGGAGGGAAGGCAGCCGCATCCCAGTGAAGGGGTGGAAGCCTGGGACCTGCTCTTGCTCTTGGATCTGGTCTCTGAGGCGCTGGATCTCCAGGCGCTGCATCTCAATGATTCTCCCAGTTTCTTCTTGCTCATTCAGTCTCATGGTGGGAGGCAAGCCTGGTAAGTCTTTGCCGGACACTGTAGGGGACAGAGCAGGACTAGTGTGGGCCTGTTACTGGGCTGCTGCAAAGCTTATCCTCCCTTCCCCCTCTAACCTCCATCCCCGCACACATTTATGGAGCACCTGCTATGGGGTAGACACTCCAACCCAGATGCTAGGGAGATGGAGATGAGCCATTTCACTGTCTAGCAGAGAAGGAGAAATGAAGAGACATGCTTTGGAGCGATAAGGCAAATGCTAAACCTGACCTCAGCCCGGCCCCTCTCCTGAGCCCGGCAGTGTGCCTGCCCCGAGCCCCCTCCACTGGGGGCTGCTCAGTCCCCACACCCCAAGCAGAGTGGCACTCTCCTATTGACCCGGGTTGGCCTCCAAGCTGCCAGTCCTCCTCCTCACATAAACCTGCTCCCAGAGACCCCTCTCTAGCCCTCCTGCTGTGGCCATTCACTCATGTTCCCTGGGGACGCCCCTCGAGACTCTCAGCCATCCTCCTGTCTCAGTGCTGTCCTGGGTGATGCTGGTGTCCACGAAGGTCCATGGCTCACCCCACTTCCCGGCCTCACGAGGCTAAACTGTCAGCATTAATTGTTTGGCCTGCACGTCAGCTCCACACCCACTCTGTGGCTTCCCCTCGTCACGCCCAGGATCTTTCACTCTAGTGCTCCATTCACCTCTTCTTAGACTGAATTTAGACCTCATCTTCCTGGACAACTCCATTTTTTACCTACTAAATGGGTTCCTCTTAGATTCACTCCTTTTCTGACCAGGTAGACCCACAGTGAGTTTCTTCTCCCATCTAGATGCCTCATCCCTCTGCCCCAGGTACCCTGCCCAGCCTACATCCAAGATAATCTGAGCATCCAGGGTCGCCACTTTCACATCTGGCCTGCTGTGCATTACCGATAAAAGTAACACACGAGATTCAAGTTCTTGGTTTCCAACCCCAGACGGACTTTATGTCCATAGTCAGCAAACTCTCATTCCCCACAGAAGCACTTAGGAACTTCAATCTTTACTCCAACTCCTCTGCCCTACTTAGAAAAAAAAAATTGTGGTAAAATCTATATAGCATTTACTAACTTAACCATTAAAAAAAAATTTATGTACTTATTTATTTATTTGGCCGCACGGGTCTTAGTTGTAGCACTCGGGATCTTCGTTGCTGCGTGTGGGATCTTTTAGTTGTGGCATGCGAACTCTTAGTTGCAGCATGTGGGATATTTAGTTGTGGCATGCGAACTCTTAGTTGCGGCATGTGGGATCTAGTTCCCTGATCAGGGATCGAACCTGGGCCCCCTGCATTGGGAGCGCAGAGTCTTAGCGACCGGACCACCAGGGAAGTCCCTTAACCATTTTTAAGTGCATGGTTTAGTAGTGTTAAGTACATTCACACTGTTGTGCAACTAATCTCCAGAACTCTTCTCATCTCGAAAAACTCAAACCCCATCCCCATTAAACAGCTCCCCAGTCCCCCCACCCCCAGCCCCTGGTAGCCACCATTCTGCGTTCTGTCTTTATGAATTTGATGACTCTAGGTATCTCAGATAAGTGGAATCACACGGTATTTGTCCTTTTGTGTCTGGCTTAGCATAATGTCCTTAAGGCTCATCTATATTGTATCATATGTCAGAATTTCCTTCCTTTTTAAGGTTGAATAATATTTCATTGCATATATAGACCACATTTTGTTTATCCATTCATCTATTGTTGGAAATTTGGGTTGCTTCCACCTTTTGGCTACTGTGAATAATGTTGCTATGAACATGAGTGTACAAATATCCTCTTTGAGACCCTGCTTTCACTTCTTTTGGGTATAAACCCAGAAATGCAATTTCTGGTTCATATGGTAACTCTGTTATTAATTTTTTGAGGAAACACCTTACTGTTTTCCATAGTGGCTGTACTGTTTTACATTCCAATCAGCAGTGCACCAGGGTTCCAATTTCTCCAGACCCTTGTCAACACTCGTTACTTTCTGGGTTTTTTGTTTGTTTTTGTTTTTTCTTTTTGGTTTGGTTTATTTTGATAGTAGCCATCCTAATGAGTGTGACGCAGTATCTCATTGTGGCTTTGATTTCATTTCCCTAATTGTTAGTAATACTGAGCATTTTTCATGTGCTTCTTGGACATCTGTGTATCTTCTTGGAGAAGTGTCTATAGTCCTTTGCCCATTTTTAAATCAGGTTTGTTTGTTTGTTTTGGAGTTGTAGGAGTTCTTTATATGTTCTGGACATTGACCCCTTATTAGCTGTATGATTTCTCTCATTCCCTAGGTTGCCTTTTCACTCTGTTGATTCTGTTCTTTGATGCACAGAAGTGTTAAATTTTGACAGTCTAATTTATTATATATTTTCTTTTGTTGCCTGTGCTTTTGATATCATATCCAAGAAGTTATTGCCAAACCCATCCTCTCCTCTTCTCTTAATGGATGACATTGCCACCCTCTTCACTGAGGAATGGTGTCCCCAACTCCCTCACCACAGTCAATCTTCTCTCAGTGGAAGAGGGGTCTCTTTCCTATCTGCTGCCAACCCCTTCCCTGGAGGAAAAACTAGAAAAGAACAGATGATGGTGGCCAAGGAAGAGAGCATTTTAAAGAGGAAGTGGTCAGCAGTGGCCAGTGGCCAGCTTGCCTTGGCCTCTAATTGACCTGATGAGGCCAGCATTCAGAGTACTCAACTTATCCCATCCTTCCCAGGAGAAGTCTGGATCCTTCTCTGTCTGCCTTTGCTCCTTGCCTCTTCTCCTTTACTGCAATTTCTAGACTCTTGATCTTTCTAGGCTCTTGATTTCTTCTCTTTTCTAGGTCTTGACCCTTCATCCACCTTCTGCTACTGGTTGTCCCTGGTAACCATCTCCTCAGTCAAGCTGTGGCCTAGCCATGGAGCCCTGGGAAAAGTAGCACCCCTGGGAAGGTATAGCACACAAAAGCCTACCAGCCCATCCACCTACCAGCCCATCCACCTTCTTGGGCCTGCATCACTCGCCTCTGCCTAGTTTCTGTTTACCTCCCCACCTGCTTTTTTCATATACTTATTATAGGCATCTGTATATGTTCTTTGGAGAAATGTCTATTCAAGTCCTTTGCTTATTAAAAAAATTTTTTTTGTTGTTGTTGTAGTTAAGTTGTAAGAGTTCCTTATATATTCTGGATGTCAACCCTTTATCAGATATGTGATTTTCAAGTATCTTCTCCCATACCATGGGTTGCCTTTTCACACTTTGCGATAGTGTTCTTTGATGCACAAAAGCTTTAAATTTGGATGTAGTCCAATTTATCTACTTTCTTTTTGTTGTCTGTACTTTTGATGTCATATCTAAGAAATCACTGCAAAATCTAATATAATGAAGTTTCCCCCTATATTTTCTTCTATGAGCTTTATAGTTTTAGCTCTTATGTTTAAGTCTTTGGTCCACTTTGAGTTAAATTTTGTATATGATGTAAGGTAAGGGTCCAACTTCATTCCTTTGCATGTGGGTATCCAGTTTTCCCAGCACCGTTTGTTGAAAAGATTGTCCTTTCCTCATTGAATAGTCTTGACACCCACATTGAAAATCATTTGACCATATATGTGAGTGTTTATTTCTGGGCTCTGTATTCTATTCCATTGGTCTATATGTCTATATTTATGTCAGTACCATACTGTTTTGATTACTATAGCTTTGCTGTAAATTTTGAAATAGGAAGTGTGAGGCCTCCAACTTTGTTCTTTTTCAAGAGTTTTGGCTATTTGGGGTACCTTGAAACTCCCAATGAATTTTAGAATGGATGTTCTATTTCTGCAAAAAAATATCATTGGGATTTTGATAGGGATTACATTGAATGTGTAGATCACTTTAGATAGTATTGACATTTTAATAAATCTTCCAGTCCATGAACAAAAGATGTCTTTCCATTTGCTGGTCCTAAGCCAGACTTAGGTTCTTCATGATCAAGGCAGACAATTGGTAATACCTGTCTTCAGCCACTACTGATGAAACCTCCCTTGAGTAAAGCTCTATGACACAAGTGGCATGATATTTGGTTTGCTTCAGAATAATCTGCTATGGGTGTGGGAGGGAATAATTGGTGCGGGGGGGGCGTGGCGATAGCGATGAAACAAGAGCGACCGTTGCTCAAGTCAGGGAATGAATTCATTAGAATTTCTCTCAATTTTTGTCTATGCCTGATAGTTTCCAACACAGTAATAAGAAGAACCTGGCTATATCATACAGCATCCTGAGGAGGTCTCAACTGGTTATTTGCTAGGCCACTGGGGCATATTTGAAATAATTTTTTAAAAGAGAAGTTTTGTGATTGTTCACAGACACATCTATGCTTCACCTCCAACTGAAGATGGTTTCACCTCCAAGAAGTCAAGTTCTGTCTTTTTTTTTTTTTAACAGATTGATTAATTAAATTAATTTATTTATTTGGCTGTGCCACGCGTCTTGTGGGATCTTAGTTCCCCGACGAGGGATTGGACCCTGGCCCTCGGCAGTGAAAGCGCAGAGTCCTAACCATTGGGCCGCCAGGGAAGCCCCCAAGTTCTCAGTCTTTTTAACACATGCTGTGCTCTTATGTCAGTTCTTCAGAGTTAATATTGTTCTTCGGGTACTACTCACAGAGTTTACCCTCTCAACTTCAACTCTAACGACAATGGCGTATGAGACAACAATTTTATATATATATATATATATATATATATATATAAAATTTGTAACAGTTCAAGGCTCACAAGCAGTTATGAAAATAGTGCAGAGAGTTCCTGTGTATCCTTCAGCTACCCTCCGCCAATGATAATACCTTGCATAACCACAGTACCTGAGGTGGTGATATTTGAACGACCCAGTCCACAGCTGTGGAATGTTTCAGTTCATTAGGGTTTCTAAGCTTTATTCCTGAAGGTAAACCACCAGAAAACAATATACTTGAACTATGTTGGCTTAATTTCCCACAGTAATACCTTATGCTCTTGTTTTTTTATTGACTGTCCAGATAAGAAATGGACACCTGAAGAATGTTTTTTTATTGTCTGAAAACCTACCGTTAAAGACTGTCAATTACATTGTTCAATATCCCTTTTTTCTTTTTCTTTGTTTTTTTTGTTTTTGCAGTACACGGGCATCTCACTGCTGTGGCCTCTCCCGTTGCAGAGCACAGGCTCTGGACGCGCAGGCTCAGCGGCCATGGCTCACGGGCCTAGCTGCTCCGCGGCATGTGGGATCTTCCCAGACCGGGGCACGAACCCGTGTGCCCTGCATCGGCAGGCGGGCTCTCAACCACTGCGCCACCAGGGAAGTCCCCAATATCCCTTTTGTAAGGCTCCATGTATTTAGTTTCTCACAGAACTTAGTACCAGGGAAAGGTTTTTTTCCCCCAGAAAAAAACTTCCTTTCCCCATATGAGAGCTATGTAAACCATCATATTTTTTCCCTTTTCGTCTTGGCTATCAGAAATTCAGAGGAATTTTATAACTGCAATAACTAACTCATTTAACAGTTTTAATGTAATTCTTTCCCCTCTCCCTTTAAATTGTTTCTGGTCCTTATTTTTGCCTTTATTTTCATCATACAGGTCCACAATCCTTGATCCACAATTGTAAAATGCAAAAAGCTTTAAAAATGGAAAGCATTTTTAAATTCATGAAGTTTAGTGCGAATATTCATATGTTTCACTACAGAAATACTAATGTGTTTGATTTCAGGGCACTGCCCCAGACAGTATATATAGTATGTTCCTCCCAAGATCTGAAAGATTCTGAATTCTGAAACCTTTGCTAACCCCAAGAATTCTGGATTTGCAAGTGTTTGAATGTGGTAGGGTCCTCACAAATCCTTTGAAGAGCAGGCGCGTGGCATGCAGAGGTGCCCAGGAGGCCATAGGGTGGATGTGAGCTGATACAGGAGGAAACTCAGGAGAGGCAGCTTTGAAAGCCAAAAGGAGACCTGCTCGCGGCTGCCATTGGTCCCTGGATCCCAGTGCCCATCTTTCTTGACCACTGGTGACATTACCTGTCTCTGGAACGTCTTGTGGTTGAATTTTCTTGGTCAGTTTCAGGGCTGCTTCAAGGTCATAGACTTGGGAGCGGGTGAACTTCAGCTCTCTGCGGAGCTCATTAAGCTCCTTGATCAGGGAGACATTTTCCTGTAGAGGAGGAGGAGGAGGAGAGAGTGAGTGTCGATGGATGAGTGGTCAGTGGGCACAGGACCTGCTCTGGCCTCTGGGGCTAAGGGTGTGGGGAAGAGTCAGGGCTGGTCCTGGACCCAGATTATATCTCTGGTGCCTCTACTGTGGCATGAGTCTCTATCCTGGCTCATGGATCAGCCTCTTGAGGTACCAGCTGACTTACCTTCAGGTGGACTCTGGCAAAGTTAGCTACAGGCAGTGTGCACCATTCCCATCCAACCAGGCTCTTCCCATCCGTAGCAACAACAATGCTTTTCTAAGCACTTTTCATGAACTTAACGCATTGAAGTTGCATAATAACCCTATGCATAGATTCTATTACAACCACGGTTTTAAAGTAGAGAAAACTGAGGCACAGAGAGGTGATGTAACTTACCCAAATTACATAGATAGCAAGTGGCAGAGCCAGGATTCTGACCCAGTCTGGCTCCAGAGCTCTGAGCTCTTAAGTACTGTGCTACACTTTGTTTTTTCCATTCATTTGTTGAACCTACATTCACGTGGTATCTGCTGCATGCCCCGGATGCAGACAGAAATAAGACGTGGTTTCTGCTCTCAGCAGCATACAGCTTACTGAGGAATAAAGAAAAGTAAATGGATAATTAGCATTTGCTACATCCACTGCAAGTTCACTTCTCTCAGTGTTTGATGAATATCCATCCATCCATCCAATATTTATTGAGTACTTATTTTGTGCCAGGCACTGTGCTGATCCTGAGGTGTATATATAGAGAAAGTAAGACTTGGCCTCTGTTCTTGAGGAGTTTAGGGTTTAGTGAGGGGTCTGGGCACACTTTAGTGAGGTGGCCACCTTGCTGGGATGGAGGAGTGGGACACAGAGGAAAGGCACTTAGCTCTGCCTGAATGACCAGGGTGGATTCCTAGGAACTGACCCCTGGGCTGAGGCTTGACAGAGTTAGCAAGGAGAGGGTAAAGGGGGTCCCAGATAACTGGAATGGCAGGAGAAAGGCACAGAATGACACGGCAGGTGTGTGGGGTGACCTGCAGCAGTTCTGTGTCACGGGAATACGAGGTGAGAGGAGTAGAGAGGCATGCAGGGCAGAGCCTGCTGCAGGCCAGGTGGAGGGGCTCTGCGCTCTGGGACCAAGCAGTCTCTTCTCTCTTGCCTTGCCTTCCTTTTCACACTCAGCACAGGAGCCCCAAGGGAGGCGTCCCTCTCACCATGGACCGCTCTGCTCTTGGAGCCCACGGCCTCAGTACTCAGCACGTCCGCCACAGCACCTCTCATAGGACTGTGCAGGAATCGCCTGAGGATCCTGTTTAAATGTGGCTTCTGACTCAGCAGGCCTGGAGCTGCTCCTGAGATTCTGCATTTCTAACCAGGTCCCAGGAGATGCTGCTGTGGGTAGTAGCAAGGCCCTCGAGGGTCTGAGTACCAACAAAGGCAAACACGGACCAAATCTACATAAGACGAACCTGTGCTGGAAACAAACTGTGCTTCCCCTTGGGACACTGGCTCTGGGGTGGTGAGTGTGGAGTCTGAGCCCAGAGGACAGGGTGATCCCAAGCACTGCTGTCAGCGAGCAGGACAAGCCTTCTCTGTCATGGGAATGTGAACTGCAGACACCCCGATAATCCTTCCCTCCAGAGCCTTTTTAATTAGGCAGATCAGATCTACCTTCAGATTTTTGTATTTCACTTAATTTCACTCTTCCTCATTAAAAAAAAATGTTCTCTGGATGAAATGCCCAATTATTACCAGTCCCACATTGGATGAAATGCCCAATTATTACCAGTCCCACATTGGATGAAATGCCCAATTATTACCAGTCCCACATTGGATGAAATGCCCAATTATTACCAGTCCCTCATTGGATGAAATGCCCAATTATTACCAGTCCCTCATTCGCAGGCTCGGCTTTGCGCCTGTTTTTCTATAAAGTCAGCAGGTTTTCTCCTTCTGATTTTTGACCCTTTTAACCAGCCCAGGCCTTGGTGATACATAGCCCACATTTTCTTTCCAGATGCTCTGTTTCCTCCCCCTGGAATTTCTCCATGCTGACTTTATATCATGACATAATCACTTAAGTGCGTATTTATTGGATTCTAAGACCTTGGACTCTGCCTGGCCTGTAAGAGGTGCTCAATAAATATTTGTGGAAGGGATAAGCAAATGAATAACTAGCACAGTGGATACCAAGTTGAATAAGATGAATCCTGTAAACCAGCAAATTACAAACCAGGGGGTAAATGTTGAGCAGGGGAGACCAGCCAGAAGGGAGTCTTAGGAGAGCCACAGGGAACTCCTGGGCACACCAGCCCACTCAGGGGCTCTCTCCACTCCTCCGCTTAGCTGGCATCACTTAGGTTCACTTCCCCTGCTTCATTCAATAAAATAATCGTAATCAGAATAAAGATTAGAGACTGACTGTCATACAGAGTGAAGTAAGTCAGAAAGAAAAAGACAAATACCGTATGCTAACACATATATATGGAATTTAAGGGGAAAAAAATGTCATGAAGAACCTAGGGGTAAGACAGGAATAAAGACGCAGACCTACTGGAGAATGGACTTGAGGATATGGGGAGGGGGAAGGGTGAGCTTTGACAGGGCGAGAGAGAGTCATGGACATATACACACTAACAAACGTAGTAAGGTAGATAGCTAGGGGGAAGCAGCCGCAAGGCACAGGGATATTAGCTCGGTGCTTTGTGACAGCCTGGAGGGGTGGGATAGGGAGAGTGGGAGGGAGGGAGACGCAAGAGGGAAGACATATGGGAACATATGTATATGTATAACTGATTCACTTTGTTATGAAGCAGAAACTAACACACCATTGTAAAGCAATTATACCCCAATAAAGATGTTTAAAAAAAAAAAAAAAAGATTAGAGACTGAAAGTGCCATTTCCCCAGTTCTCTCCAGAAACTTCTTCCCGGTCAACCTCCATTCATTTTGTCACTCAATCCTGTCGACTTTGTGTCTGGACTGAATCTCATGTTCATTCATAACCAGCTCTCAGCATCTTTCACCTCTACTACTGTAATGGCCCCACGTGGAGCCCCCGCCATTCTCTCCACCCTGACAACCCTGTCGCCATGATTGGGACTTCAGGCTCCTGGTACCTTTTGATATGCATGTTTCTGACGCCACTGCCAGCCCTGGACACCTTCACGAGGCTGGTCACCTAAGACATGTCTCCAGAACACGACTCAGGCCCCACTAGAGTGTGATTGAGGCCCAGGACTCAATGCAGCCTGATTCCTCTGCTCCGTTGGTTCATTCATAAAAACAGAAACCCTATTAGGTGCTTATTGTGCCAGACGTGGGAGGCCAGCTTGGATCCAGTGCAGAGAGATGCCCCGCAGGGCGGTCACGTGAGGAAGCCTCCCTGTGGAGCCTGGGGGAGGGGCGGTGCAGGGAAGAGTGTTTCAGGCCCCGAGCCAAGAGGGAGCAAGCAGGGTCTGAGCCGCCAAATGCTTGATGACGATGATAATAACAAGATAACAACTCCAAGCGTGGACTGGATTCCTGCACTGTGTCAGACACTTTGCATACCCAACCTCGTTTAATCCCTACAACCACCTCAGGAGGAAGGTATTATGGGATTCAGCTGCCTATGAGGAAGCCGAGGCCGTGCATGGGTGGCAGAGCTGGGATTCGAACCTGGTGGCGTCCGCCCCCAGGTGCCTAGATGCCTCTGACTGCTGCCTCCCAGACTCCACTCTCACCTCTGCTGTACGTCACCTCCGTCAACACCTCACATATGGAGGACGAGGGAGCCCCTGAAAAGTACAAGTGGGGCTGCCTTAAGAGGGCTTTCTGGGGTGGTCCGTGTTCTGAGGGGTCCAGAGGCCACACTGAGGTCGACTGTAAGTGCCTTGGGTAGTTTTGTGAAGTCAAAACGTGAATGCAGCAGGTTTGCTGAGCTTTTCTGTTCTTGATCCCCCCTTGGTCAGAACGGTCTACAAAGGCCCCTCTGATCCTCCAGACCCCCAGCCAGCTCCTCTGCAGGGAAGATCTGACCTGAGTCCATCGAGCGCCAGGACTTGGGGCATGTGAGAGAGGCTGGCTCGGGGATACTAAGGTCTGTTTATATAGAAAGGCTTCTGAACAAAGAGGCTACGCCAAGCTGTCCAGCACTGCCTTTGGTTGAGGGGCAATGCCAGAGAGCCTCACACGGGAACCTGCTGACAGAACTTCAGACTCCGAGGGAGAAGGCCGCAGAAAGGAAATGCCTAGAGCACCCCCTGCTGGCCTACCTTGAGTTGACACCTTTAAGAATACAGCAGGGTCTGGTTAGTGTGGAAAAAGCAGGCAAAGGATTTATTCCGATAACTTGGGAGCCCCACTCAGTGGCGTCTTTCCGGAGCCCACAGTTGGTGGGATCGCCATCTGCCTAACTGCACAAATGAACCATTTCTCCACTCCTCTTTCAGCCTTCCTCTCACATCTAACCACCCACTTCTATTCATCACCTCTACTCTGAAACATCTTCTGACATCACAACTTTCCCCTCCCAAGGCCTGTCATCTCCCTTTAACATGGGAGTCATCTTCGAAAGGGTTTTCCTGCCACTTGCCTTTCCCCACTGGTTTTTCCCCCCTGCCCACTGAAGTAACCTTTCCGGAACAGATAACACCCCTACCTACATAAGAAACCTTAGGGGGCACCAGCTTATAAAATAAACTTCATGCTTCTTGTGTGACACGGAAAGCCTTTTCAACGTGACCCTAAGCTACCTACCGTTCCAAAGGGCCCTTCCTCCTTGCCCCCATGCTCTGCAATAAAGTTACGTTGGGGGATTTCTGGGTCCCCAAACGCCCCACGGGCCTCTCTGTTCTCTGACTGTTCTCAGGTTTTGTCCTCGGCTTGGAAGGCTCTTCCCCCATTGCTCCCTGACCCCCTCTACTCACCCTTCAAGGCCCAGCTCAAGTGCCATGCCCCCTAGCTGAAGCCCCCCTCTCCGGTGAGCTTACCACCCTGGATGCCCTGCACGGAGCAGTGCTTATCTGTGTCTGGCTCAAGTTCCCTAGGTGAGCTTGCTGAGAGTAGGCAAGCCATCACATTAATCTGGGAATCCTCCACGGCCAGCTCGCAGCTTGGCATGTAAGAAGCCCGCAAAATACGTGTCCTGAATGAATAAAGTACGTGTCCTAGATGTTTGTATTCCATTGCAACTCTTCTTTTAGTATTGGCAGTCATGCTGGAGAATGAACGAGGAGGCCCCGTGCTCCTATCTGAACATATAAATGAGACAGTGACCTCATTTTCTGTGTTTTCTAACAAGTTTCTCTCAGATGCCATGTCTGCCCCAGCCTTCCTCAGCCTTTTGAAACTTAAGTGTCAGGGCCTTGGTACCTGCAGATGCAGCTCCTTACCAACGCACACCAAAGCAATGGGCACCCCGGGCCACCAGCTGGGGGGCCTGGGATCAGCTGTACTGTCCCGTCTTCTGTGCCTCAAGCCCATGGGCACTCCCAGTCTGTGCTGTGATGGCCTTTCAGGCTCTCCTACTAGATCTTGCCTTGGTTCTTTTTTTAATTTTATTTATTTATTTTTGGCTGCATTGGGTCTTCGTTTCTGTGCGAGGGCTTTCTCTAGTTGCGGCGAGCGGGGGCCACTCTTCATCACGGTGCGCGGGCCTCTCACTGTCGCGGCCTCTCTTGTTGTGGAGCACAAGCTCCAGACGCACAGGCTCAGTAGTTGTGGCTCACGGGCCTAGTTGCTCCGCGGCACGTGGGATCTTCCCAGACCAGGGCTCAGAACCCGTGTCCCCTGCATTAGCAGGCAGATTCTCAACCACTGCGCCACCAGGGAAGCCCTGCCTTGGTTCTTGAGTAAGTCTTTTGCTCGGAAGAAGGGAAGGAAAATAGCATTTTTGGAGCACCTTTTCTGTACAGGGCCAGTGGCCAATGCTTGACATTAGTTAGCTCACTCAATCCTTGCAGTAACTGGCTGAGGTCGGTGTTTTCTTCCTCTCTTACAGATAGGAAGGCAGCTCCTGGACAAGTTCAGGACCGCCCCCCCCCCGCCCCTCCCCTAGCAAGACTGGCCAGCAGGAGGGTAAACTGGGTCTGTACAAAGACAGGGCTGTGCTCTTCTCTCCAGGCCCGCCACCTTGCCTGGCCCTTAAGACCAAAGAAGGAAACAATTTTTATCATCCAGAACAGTAGTTTTGAAAGTTTTTCTTTTTTTAAGTCTTCCAAACAAAATCTTACACAGAGCCCACCGCAATAAGCAAGGAGTCTCCCTGGTTGAGCAGGTGCTGGGAACCCAGAGCCCTGCGTCCTGACACCCCTCTGGCCCCCTGCAGTTGTCTGTGGCACTTCTGTGCATCCACAGGGCTCCGCAGCACACAGGTTTACAATGCTGCTTGAGCAAACACTCTCCGGATTCTCCCTGTTGATGGCTCCCTCTGCCAGCCACCAGGGAGTGGTAGCGTTGGGCAGAAGCCCTGCTTGGGTCTCCTCTGCTCCCGCTACCCCAACTCTCACCCTGGCCCAGCAGGAGTGCGCATGTGGCCCCTGGGGAATGGGGGAGCAAACGAGGCCCTTCTGCCTGTCCTGAGCAGCCTCATGCTGACGCTTACACCCTCACCTAGGCTGTGGTCTTTACTCTCTTTCCTTTTCCTTCTTCTCCTAGGATTGACATTTGCTTTGGGAGTCTGGTTGGCATGGAGAGAGGGACCCAGCCCTTGGAGGACCCCTCAGGCCTGTGCCCTGGTGGCAAGTCACAGATGAGAGCTCAGCAATGTCACCAGTTGACAACCACTCCTACAGTCTCCCTGGTCCCCCTGCCCCGCAGGCTGCACTGCAGTGCCCCCAGGGACTCTCCATGCTCAGGAGCACTCGAGACCCTTAGCAATGGCTCTGTGTATCAGCTGCTGGTGCCTAAGTGTCCCAGCAATTGAATCTACTCCTATCTCTGGGCCTCTGACTGCTTTCATGGCTCAGGAGCTGGGCAGTGGGCTGCTTGATGGTGTGGGCTGCTTTTAAGCAGGGGCTGGTTGTAAGGTGGCATGAGACCTGCCGTGCCTGGGGCTGGCCTGAATTGCAGTGTGCTCTGCCCAGCTGTGTTCAGAACTGATTTGTTTCAATCCAACTGCAGCCCATCCCCATTCCAGCATTTTAATTACAGCATTAAAGAAATAGGAACATAAAAATGTACATGCCTTATAAATGTGATTCGGACGTTCTCTTTTGATATTAATTCACATTAACTGCCTCAGGTGAGACTGATACCCAAAGAGAAATTGGCAGCAGAACCCTGCCTGGGAGTCCGACAGTGTGTAAGTGGAGGTGGCAGTAATGGGGTTAGGCTCTCTGAACGGCCCTAGGAAGAGTCCGGGGAGGTGGGCGTGGAGAGAGCTCATTAAAGTGAGGGGAGGCCAACACTTAGGGTGGGTGTGGTTGGCTCTGGACCCGAGAGATAAGAGTAGGGACCTGAGGCACCAGAAAAGCCGGAGGAGGTGGGAGGAGATGGGCATGTTCCCAGGAGAGAACTTGGCCAGCAGGGACCATGTGATAACAGGTAGCAGAAAAAAAAGCAGCAAAACAAAGTAAGGTGAAACAGAAGCTGGAAACAGAAAAGAGGAGAAGGAAGAGAGTAACTGGGAGAGCTAAAGTCACGTGGCCAAAGTCCAGAGGGGACAGGGGTCAAGGAGAGGAGTGAGGCAGGATGCAGGAGTGCTTTGGATAAAGATGGGAGTAGAAAAAAGAAACGGGTGGCTGGTGAAGTGAGATGGGGCAGAAATGAACGAACCTTGGAGGGGCAGGAGTGGGCACGGAAGTGCCTAGAAAACCTCCTTGGCGGGCCTCTGGGCCATGGTCACCGCCAGGATGAGCTCTGAGGGGGACAGAGGAGACAGGTCAAAGAAGGAGCTTTGGAGAAAGCTAGTGGGTCCCTTGGACATTTGGGGAACCCTGAGGACAGTGGTCTTGGAGGGGCCCTTGACAGGCTCTCTTGTCTCTGACGGCCCAGCCTCGAGGGAGCTGAGGGGCGCGTGCAGGTACCTGCATGATGCGGACGTAATCCGCGCGGTGCAGCTCACTCTCCTTGACCACCTTCTTCTTGAGGGTGGCCAGGCTCCTCTCCAGGTGCTCCCGCTGACGGGTGTACTCCTGCTGCAGGTCCGAGTTCAGCCCTGTGATCTCTACCTGATGGGGCAGGAGGGGCTCATCGTGAGGGAGGGGAGAGCCTGGAGGGCAGGGGAGGGCGGAAAGGGAGGCAGAGCTCACCATGTCTGCCCGCTGCACGTACTTCTCAAAGAGAGCGCGAAACTTCTCCTTCAGCTGCCGGGGTTCTTGGATGTAGGCCACACAGTTGTGAAGGTCCATCTTAAACCGTTTGACCAGAGCCTCCAAGTTCCGCTCCTGCAAGCAGAGGCATTTACTTCTAGCCCCATAGGGACTCTCCAGGGTCAGGGGCTGCAGCCTTGTGACTGCATAAAGGGACAAGAGACACCTCATCTAGGACTTCACCGTTGACCACCAGGGGCCACACAGGGCCCAGAGGCCTAGATGGGCACCTAGCCCAGAGGGAGAGGCCCTAAAACTCCTGTGTCCCTGGCCTGAACAGTTGCATTTTTAGGAGGCAGCACACACTGATTCCTTTATTGGCTCTAGATTCCTTCCAGGACCACAGGCCTTAAAAGGCTAAAAGAGGCGCAAGTGGTCACCTACTCCTTTCGGAGCCAAGATGGAGAGCATCGATTCTTTCTTGCAGATCCCTGCGCCAGGGCTTCCCTGCCCCTTTGTTAGCTCATCCAGTGTTTCTCCTTCCTGAGGGCTGCTGTGAGTGGGTAGGGAAGATAATGACAAAATCGAGCAGACTGGTTCATCTGCAAACTTGGGCTACGTCCTCCCTCTTCCATCATGCTTTCTCAGATACCCATCTTCCCCTACCCCTGACCTAGAGAGACTCTCCTTTTTCTTCACTCTCACAGCTCTTTATTCACGTTCCATAATTTTCAGCCTTGGCTGGCTGATAATTACTATGCACATGCCACAAATCACCTGTCAGTTTGTGAAGGGCAGGATCTGTATCAGTTCATGTTGATAGCTCTGCAGCTTCTAGTATTACCTAGTACAGAGTCAATCCTTAATGTGAGGGGTGGAAAAATTCAATCTGATTCTACCAACATTACGAGGTGCTCTGTGCCAGGGGGTGAGGGTGCAGCCAAGTCCTGGTCCAGGACCAGAAGACTGGGTTCCCAGCCCTGGCTCTGTATGTGCTCACTAGCTGTGGGTGCTGGGTGAGGTTTCTAACTTCCTAATCTCTCTGACCTTGCTTTCCTTGTTTATTACATAGAGAGACCGGAATAGGCGATTTCTGAGGTCCTCTTAGCTCAGTATTGTTTTGGCAGTCAAGCCTTTAACCACTGACTACAGATGATCTCTCTGAACATGTTCCTTCCCAGGCCACACAAGCCAATGTTGTGAGCATTCCTATAACACTGGCTTCCCACCTCCTTGATCACTATACTCAAAGTCATTTTATAGTCTCAGATGGATTCAGCTACATAAATTTACATGAGCCTGAAATAGGGCAGGGCTGTGAACAAGTAAAGAATGCGAGTTAAAATAGGTGTATCTTAGCTACGGGCTGGCTCTGTCTCTTGAAAGCCAGCTGCCCATTGCAGACAGGCACCGGCTCCTGAATCCAAGAGCTGCCAGACTCTGAAAATCCTCACACCTTTTGTCTCTCTCTGCGCATCTCCTGATCAGTAGCTCTTAATTTCTGCCACAATTCTGTGATGTTCAGCTCCAGCTGTGTGTTCTGCTTATGGAAATGCTCCAGTTCAGTTTCCATCTACAGACAACAGGGGAAAAAGAGTCAAGAATAAGAAAGTAAGCCAAGGAAGTCATGCAGATGGCCAATGGGCACATGAAAAGATGTTCAACATCACTAATTATTAGGGAAAGGGAAATCAAAACCACAATGAGATATCACCTCCTGCTTGTTAGAATGGCTATTATCAAAAAGGCAAGAAATAATAAGGGTTAGAGAAGATGTGGAGAAAAGGAAATTCTTGTGTACTATTGGTGGGAATGTAAATTGGTGCAGCCACTATGGAGAACAGTACGGAGAGTCCTCAAAAAATTAAGAATAGCTGTATAACAGAGGATCCAGCTATCCCACTTCTGTGTATTTATCCAAAGAATGCAAAAACACTAATTTGAAAAGATATATGCACCCCTATGTTTATCGCAGCATTATTTACAATAGCCAAGATATGGAAGCAACCTAAGTGCCCATCAGTGGAGGAATGGATAAAGAAACTTTGGTACACACACACACACACACACACACACACACACACACACAAATGGAATACTATTCAGCCATAAAAAAGAATGAAATCTTGCCATCTGCAACAAGATGGATGGGTCCCTTTAGGGTATTATGCTAAGTGAAATAAGCCCAACAGAGAAACACAAATACGGTATGATTTCATTCACCTTTGGGATATAAAAGACATGGAAGGAACTTAAATGTCCATCGACAGATGAATGGATAAAGAAGATGTGGTACATATATACAATGGAATATTACTCAGCCATAAAAAAGAATGAAATAATGCCATTTGCAGCAACATGGATGGACCTAGAGATTATCATACTAAGTGAAGTAAGTCAGACAGAGAAAGACAAATATCATATCATATTACTTATATGTGGAATCTAAAAAATAGTACAAATAAACTTATTTACAAAACAGAAACAGACTCACAGACATAGAAAACAAACTTATGGTTACCAAAGGAGATAGAGGGGGTGGAGTGGGGGGAGATAAATTAGGAGTTTGGGATTAACATCGACACACTACTATATATAAAACAGGTAAATAAGGATAGCACAGGGAACTATATTCAATATCTTATAATAACCTATAATGGAAAAGAATCTGAGAAATATATACATGTATGTATAACTGAATCACTTTGCTGTACACTTGAAACTAACACAACATTGTAAATTAACTGTACTTCAATTAAAAAAACAACAAAAAACAAACAAAATAAATGAACAAACCAAACAAACCAAAGCACATAGATACAGAGAACAGAGTAGTGGCTACCAGAGGGAAAAGGGCGGGGCAAGGGCAACATGGGTAAAGGGGAGAAACTGTACGGCGACGGATGGAAACTGTACACGCTGGAAGTGGAAGTATAATGCTGTTGGGTGGGAGGGAGGGAGATGCAAGAGGGAGGAGATATGGGAACATATGTATATGTATAACTGATTCACTTTGTTATGAAGCAGAAACTAACACGCCATTGTAAAGCAATTATACTCCAATAAAGTAGTAAAAAATAAATAAATAAAAGAACAACAACAACAAAAGAAATATAATGCTGCACACATGAAACTTACATAACATTATAAACCAATGGTACCTCAATGAAGAAAGTCAGAGAATGAAAATTATATTTGAGAACTGAAGTCTTTTAGTGGGAATGTTTCCCCTGCTACCAGGGCACTTCCCTTCTAGTTCCCACACTGGAAGGAACATTTCTTCTTACGCCTCGCCGTCCCCAAAGCTCCCCACCCCTTGGCTGATATGTTAACCCAGATATGTGTTTCTATAGCCCGGCTATGAACTTTTTGCCCTTAGTTTTCCTGTTCCTTCCTTCTTTTCTTGAATTCCTTATAAATTGACTGGAACCTGTAACCTGAGGCAAGGTTCTGCAGAAAAGCAGCTTCCTCGTTCTACTTTGTGAAGTTGTGTGAGTGAATCTTGACCCTCTGGGGCCACAAACCATCAGGGCCGACCCTCAAGCAGAAAGTTTTGAGGGACCAGCATGTAGGTGTCTCCAGTCTAAGGCATAAAACAGAAAAGAGGAGGCTGAGAAGGAATCTTTGCCTCATCATTCTGTTGAAAAGGTCTGAAAAGTACAACTTCAGAGGGCCTCATCTTCAAAAGAAAAAAAAAAAAAGCTACCCACGAGCTTCTGACTCTTTATTCATTGTTACATGGGTATCAACCAAGGACATGTGAGTAACAATCGGAGTTTCTGATTAGAATGTCAGCTGTAGGTGAGCTCGCCTTTGATTTAACTCCTGCCAAAAGCAAAGGAGTGCAGTCTGACTGACACGCCAGATCTGGTGGATCTGGGGGATAGAGAGGTTTGCTGACTATTTTGACGGGGATGGGGAGTTCACGGGGTTTTTTCCTGGCTGGATGGAGTAGCACCTCTAGCTTAACGCAGGCCCTTCGGCCAGATTTCAAGGCTCCCGGCCAGCTTCTCAGGTACCAGGAGGCCCTAGGGAGCCGTATCCTGGACAGGAAGGGGCAGCGTTTGGAAGAATGTTAGCCTAATTAGTGGAAGCGTTTTGTACGAACAGAGTAGCCCTTTGACCCAACGCCTGGCATAAAAGCGGCTCTCAATAAATATTCATATGAATAAATGAATGCATCACAGGTATAGAAGGCCAAGGGAAGCAAGACTGAGGGAAGGGAGGAGAGCCTGAAACAACCTGCCTCTGGAAGAATGATAAGATAAACATGCAATGTTGGCAGAGCTATGTGGAGCCACCTGGTAGAGGACACAGAGCAAGTGTGGATGTTTACACAGCTAACGAAAGAATGTATCCCTTAGAAAGGACGGGCAGGCTGAAGCCCCAGGTCTAGAGGGATTAGAGGGAAGTAAATGAGAAGTTCACGTGCAGTAGGATCAACACCATCAGCAGTCAGGGCGGAAAGGCCCCTGTGTGTGCACAGTGGAGCTGAGGGGTGGCACCTAGGGAAGGGATGCTCAGTCGGGTTTTGTAGGAGGCATAGGGTTTAAGGACAAGTTGGGAAGGAGAATCTCAGGCAGAGAGAGCAGCCATGCACAGAAAGGACCAGAGGCATGGGCAGCCTGGCACATCTCTGCAGGCTGCAAGTGGTCCAGCCACCCCTGGACCTTGGAGGGGTGCGTGTGAGGAAGTGGGAGAGGAGCTAGAGAGGTCAGCTGAGCTGGGTCACGCAGGACCCTGGGGCTGAGGCTCGAATGGTGTGAAGCTCAGCCTTTACCCTGCCCAGAAGTTTAAATAGGTCAGAAGTTTGGCCCTTATCCTGAAAGTTCAGGGAGCCACTGGCAGGTCTTACCCAAGGAGTGGCATGATCTGATTTGCACATTAGAAGGCCTGATGCAGAGGCTGTACCTGGAGCCAGGTAGCCTGGTCAGGAGGCTGCCGCTGTGGCCCATGTGAGATGCTGGTGCCCCAGACAAAGGAAACGGCCGCTGCAAGAGAGAAAGGAGCTTCTCCAAGGCCTGGGTGCTTGCAACTGGCTGTGCCTCTTTCTCTACAATCTTAAAGTCAGCAATGACCAGGTTAGGTTAGAAAGGAGGATGATATGAGCAAAGCCTCAAACCATGCTGAGAGTAAAAAGAATCTATTTCATAGAAGGATTGACATAGAAATATGTCAAATTTGAGTAGCTGGCTGGTCAGCCAGGAGACTAGCCAGTGAATGGGAACAAGCATCCTTTTCCTGGAGTGGAAATTCCGTCTACTCGTCCAGGTGGTACTAATCACATTCAGAGATTCTTAGTGGGGAGCGGGGGCTGGGGAGAGGCATCTTGACCCCCGCCCCACCAGGGGACATATGGCAACATCTAGAGACATTTTTGGTTGTCATATCTGGGGGAGGGGGAGGACAAACCCCTGGGGGAGGATTGTCTCTACCTCTAGTGGGTAGAGACCAGGGATGCTGCTAAATATCCCACAATGTACAGGACTGCCCCCTAACAAGGAATTATCCACCCCAAAGTGCCGAGGCGGAGAAAACCTGCACTAGATGAGGAAATAAAAGAGTGTGAAGTAAAATGATGAGGTTCTGGAAACTCCTGCCCTAGGAAGGAGATAGTCACGTTTCAACAAAGAGAAGCTGGAAGAGTGTCTGTGAGGGGAGGCACTTGAGTCAGGGAAGTTTTCTGTTTTCAGGCATGGATGTCTCAGCTCTACAAAGGAGCCAAGGGCTTGCGGCTTCCTTCTTGCAGGGAAAGGACCTTCACAGGAGGTGCACAGCAGGTGGGCCTAATGTGTCTGACCCACAGAGGGAAGCCACCAGGTCACAGGCCCCTGGGGAAGGAACTGGGCCCAGACATCAGCCCTGGCAGCTACTGGCACCTGGGGTGGGGCAGGGGGGGTCCTGTTTGACTCGTTCCCAAGGGGGTGGCGTATTCCCTGCTGAGGATCAAAGCCGTGGTTGGTCCAGTTACTGAAGGGAACGTGAATAATCTCTCAGGTGTGTTGCAGTGGAAGGCAACCAACCCAACCTTAAGTGCAGTTGACAAATATGTCAGATGAGGTGGGAGAAGTGAGGCCGTGACTGCCAGGGGCCTGCGGCGCATCTGCTTCCCAGGCAGGTAGGGCCCCTGCTCTTTCTCATCTTCTCAGGCTGCCATTCTTGGGCCCTGAGGTCACTCAAGAATGGCAGGAGGGCCAGAGGAGGCAGCTCTGTGGTCAGCTGGGAACATCCTTCCTTATCCCAGAGGCCAGGGAGAAAGTCATCGTCACAGGACATATCCTCTCTGGATGTCCCAGCCCTGGACTGATCCCACCACGTGGCCTCTTTTCTGGGCCTCCTGGAGAAAAGGCTTTGCTTTTCTCCACGATAGCCCTTGTGGAGCCAATTCTAATTGGGCCATCGGTACACCCTCCTACCCTTTTAGCTTTGCTCAGCACAGTTAGAGAAGATGGAGGGGGAGTAGGAGGCTGTTTTGGATAGGGTGGCAGGGAAGACCTCCTTGGAGAGGTGACACACGAGCTGAGACGTGAAAGACGCAAAGAAGCCAGTCGTGTGAAGATCTGAGAGCCTTCTGGGCGGGGGGAGCAGCGCTGCGAAGGTGCTTGTCCTTGGAACTGTCAGAAAGCCTGCAGGCTGGAGCCGGGGAAGGAGCCTGGAGATATGGCTAGAGAGGCTGGTTGAGGTGGGATCACGCAGGGCCTCTGTAAGGAGTCTGGGCTTCATCCTAGGTGGGAGGAGATACCACTGGGGGTTTGCTGTGGTCTCTATGTGGAGACCAGACTGGAGGCTGGAGTCAGGACCAGAAGAGAGATGATGTAGGCTTGGACTGGAGTGATGGCAGCAGAGGGCAAGGAGGGTTGGATCTGAGATATCGTTTGGAAATAGATCAGATAGGCATCGGTGACTTGGATATAGGAGTTAAGAGAACGGAAGAACCGAGATGGCTTCCACACTTCTACGTTAAGCACCTGGGTGGATTGTGGTGCCACTGACTGAGAAATGGGGAAACTGAACAAGGGGGAGGTCAGGACCACCCTCGTTTAGATGAACCGTGGACCCCACTGTCAGCTGCTCACTGCCCAGTGTGGGGAGGCTGACAGGTAAACACGTCATAAGGAAATGCCCTGTGTACTGGGCAGAGAGGCCAAAGGGGAACATTTGTACCCCACTGGGCTCTCAGAAGCCCTCGTCCCTTGCTTCTGATCTCTCTCCTCTCTGCCTCCATCCTGTTTGCTTCCCAGAACACACTCTTAATTTTGCCACTCTCCTGCTCAAGAGCCTGTGATGACTTCCTACACTCCTTATATCAGACAAAGTCCAAACACCATGGCCTTGTATAGGGCCCCCACCAACACGTTTAGTCTGAGAAAAAAGTGTTGAATCCGGAGGGGGTGTACTTTCTGGTGGACAGGCTGGTGGCTGAGTACACATCGCCCCCTGGTGGCTGAAGGCCCAGCAACCGTGGTCCAAATAGGTCCAAAGCCCACCCCAAGGCCCCGGGGGAAGCCAAATCCCAAAGCACTTTGCTTTTGCACCACCGAACCCCCGTTGGGCCTTCCCGTGGCTTCTTCTGCGGAGTGGATGCGGCCCACACCTTGGGAGCAGGGAGGGGCTGCAAGGAGAGCTTCCTTTCTTTTTTCTTTTCTTTTAAAAAAAATTTTTTTTTGCTGTGCTGAACAGCATACGGGATCTCAGTTCCCTGACCAAGGATCAAACCCACACCCCCTGCAGTGGAAGCATGGGAGTCTTAACCACTGGACCGCCAGGGAAGTCCCAGGAGAGCTTTCTTTCATTCCCTCCTGGCCAGCCAGGAATGGTTGGGAAGGAGGCGGGGGGTCCAGATGGCTTCTCACCTTTTGAATCTGTTCCTTCATCACCTTGATCTCATTCTCTCGAGGTTCTATTTGCTTCTTCAGCTCCTTTATTTTGTAGTCAAGCACAAACTTGAATTTCTCTAGTTCTTGATTTTTCTTTTTCAGGTCATAGATTCGCTTCTCCTGTGCATGAGAGGAGAGAGAAGTTGAGAGAGCTACCAGGAGGCCCTGGCACGGAATCCCTTTAGGCAAAGTGCACAGATCCTGTGACCTCCTGATTGAGGAAGCCACAGACTGCTCCCCTTGCCGGGGACACAAAGGCCGGATCCCCCACCAGAGGGAACCATTGACTCCTTGGCTTCTGTGCCAGGACTACATTCATTCACTCACCCATTCAGACATAGGTTTTGGTCAACTGTGTTTTCCAAAGCTCACCTGGGCAGCATCTCCTGTCGTACATGCTCTTCTACAAGAGAAGAGCGTGCTTCTTATGCTTCTCCATCAGGAGGTGGTGCCTAATTCCCTCCCCTTGCATCTGGCTGAACTTATGGTTTGCTTGTATCCAACGAATGAAACTCAAGTGATGCTGCATAGCTTCCCAGGCTAGCTTGGAAAAGGCCGAGCAGATTCCACCTGGTTCTCTTGGAACACGTGCTCTGGGAGGCCATCTGCTATGTGAAAAGTCCTCCTACACTGAGACCTCCAGGCTGGAGAGCATGTTTGGTGCTCTGTCAACAGTCCCAGCTAAGCTCAGCCTCCCAGCCATGCTGGTCAAGGGGCTGGACATGGGGATGAAGAAGCCACCTTAGAGGCTGGTCTTCCAGCCCCCTGCTGCGGGAGTCACCCAACTGAGGCCCCACTAGGACCCAGACATCGGGGACACAGACAAGCCATCCCGTTGTACCCTGTCCAAATTCCAGACCCACAAAATCTGCAAGCATAATAAAACAGCTGTTTTTCACCACTACGTTTTGGGGTAATTTGTTGCAAGGCAATTGTAGTTGGAATGTAGGTCTATCCATTACCACACATTTACTGCACAAAGATCTTTTGCCAAGGTCGGAGATTCCAAATAGAAATACGCCACAGTCCCTACCCTTACAGGGAAACACACTAGCTGGGAAAGCAGATGTGTCAACAAATGTAAACCTACACTGTGACAGGTATTGTGGAAGAGGGAGGCACATGGAAGGCGTGGTGTGTATTGAGGGTGCTGAGAACAACTTGTGTGAGTCAGGGTGGTGGTTCATGGGGACAGTGAAAGGTGAGCCTGGAGGGGAGGAGGGGAGAGAGGCAAGGGTCTTCCATGTTGGGTTAAAGAGTTGAGAATTTATCCCGGAGGCCAGGAGTTGGTAAGCTATAGCACTCGGGCCAAATCTGACCTGCCGCCTGTTCTCATAAAGTTTTTTTATACTTAAAAAAAATTATTTATTTTCGCTGCGTTGGGTCTTTGTTGCTGCGCGCAGGCTGTTCTCTAGTTGCAGCGAGCAGGGGTTACTCTTCGTTGTGGTGGGCGGGCTTCTCATTGTGGTGGCCTCTCTTGTTGCGGAGCACGGGCTCTAGGTGCACGGGCTTCAGTAGTTGTGGCACGCGGGCTCAGTAGTTGTGGCTCACGGGCTCTAGAGCGCAGGCTCAGTAGTTGTGGCACACGGGCTTAGTTGCTCCACGGCATGTGGGATCTTCCCGGCCCAGGCCTTGAATCCGTGTCCCCTGCATTGGCAGGCAGATTCTTAACCACTGCGCCACTAGGGAAGCCCATGTTTTCATAAAGTTTGGTTGGAATGTAGCCAAGCCCATTCATCGATGTCTTGTCTATGGCTGATTTTATGCTACTGTGGCAGAAGAGACCACACTGCTTGAAAATATTTACTACCTTGCCCTTTATAGAAAAAAAAATTTTGCTGCCCCTTGCCACAGGCAGTTGGGACGTGTGAAAGAATTTTAAGTGGAAGAGTGACAATAATTACAGAGTGTGGTGGCAGGGAGCCCGGATGGGAAGTGGGAAGGAAAGCCGTTAGACCCGTTAGGAGGCTGGTGCAATTTTCTAGAGGTCTTAACCTCTTTCTTGTCAAAAACCCACTTTGAGTTGGGGGGAGCAGTAAATTGGGAGATTGGGGTTGACATAAACACACTACTATATATAAAATAGATAACTAATAAGGACCTACTGTATAGCACAGGGAACTCCGCTCAATACTCTGTGGTGACCTATATGGGAAAAGAATCTAAAAAAGAGTGGGTATAGGTATATGTATAAGTGAGTCACTTTGCTGTACACCTGAAACTAATACAGCTTTGTAAATCAACTCTACTCCAATAAAATTTAAATAAAAAAAAAACCCTTTGAGAGTCTGTGGAGAGCTTTGACTCCTCCCTAAAAAATGCCCAGATACAAATGCAAATGCTCACTTGCCGAAATGATATGTGTGCACTGTCTCATTTCATCCTTATCAGAGCCCCTGAGGGCCGCATCCACAGGTGGGGAAACAAGGCTTGGATCAGTTGCCTGAGGTCCTGTGGCCAATTGCAGAGGCTGCCCTGGCACCTAGCTCACTAGGCTGAAACCTGCGTTCTCAACCACCCAGGAGTTGTGTCCAACTAAGGCAGCAATGGCAGAGGGGCTGGAGAGGAGGGCACGGAGCCTGGATTTGCTCAGGAGGAGGATATGAGATTTTGGATACGGAGGTGGTGTGCCTCACAAAATGTGATGTGTTTGTTTTAGTGTTTTGTGAGAAAGCCATCCAGAAAAATGATACCACTTTCTGGGGTATCCAGTGGTTACAGGGCCAACCACGGGGGAGTTCCTCTCTGACCAGGGGGACCACATGGGCGATGGGGTGAGTGAGCTGCCCCCAGTCCATGGGATAGTCACCCTGGGATGTCTGGCGCAGTGGCGAGCAGGGGCCTGGCAGTCAGCACTCAGGTTGTTACCCCAAGTCCGTCATCTATGAACTGTACGAGCCTGGGCAAGATACTTACCCCTCGGAACCAGTTTCCTGAGCTAAACAACTGGGTGGCTCATGGTCCCTGGGGCCGTTGGGGGAATTGAATGGTATGTGTTTACAGCAGTTAGCCCAGTGCCAAGCACACAGTAGGCACTTCACCCCACCCCCCTCCATCAAGTTCAATAAATGGGTTCCAGGAAGGCAGGGACCCTGTCTCTTGAGCTGTGTCCTCATTGCCTGGGTCTGTCTAGGCGGGAGTTGAGGCGGGACACAGGATATGCCTTTACCTTATCCTGAATCGTCTCGTCTCTTTCCTGGATCTCCTGCTTGAGACCCAGGATGTCCTTCTCCAGGGATTTGATGACTCCTTGCAGCTTCACCTGTTCTCCCTTCAGAATCTCAGTGTCGTTGGTTCGCTCTTCAATCTCTTTCTGCAGGCTGCTGAACTAGAGGAACAAACAGCAACGACAGAGACCACCAGAGCCTGTGAACTCATCTCCATTCCTCCTGACTGCCTGTAGACTTTAAGAGCTCCCCATCAGAATTTGGGACAGTCAGGAATTTCCCAGGGGACAATTCTGTCCGACAAGATCCAGTCCCATCCCCTTATGTGAAGAAGGGCTGTCTGCCTTAAGAGGCTCCAGAGAGACCAGTTCTCCCAGCAGATGCAGAGTTTTCCATGACCACACTGACCCTGAAAGGCTGGGATCCATGCCCCATCGAGGTTGCAGAGGTTGGGCCCTAAGTGATGAGCCATCTTAGTCATGTCCAAGAAGGGAAGATGTGATTGTCCCCTGGATTGACTAGTAGTGTGATTTCTAATAGGAAAGAACATGAGCTTGCTTTGAACTTGGCCTCTCTAAGGTTAAACGTTTCGGGGCAACTGGCAATTCTATAAGGATCTATGAATTGAATGCCTCCTCACTCAGCCATCAGTGACTACAAACATCTCCCCTGCCTTATAACCTAAGCATCCTATACTCCCAATCTTTCTCCCGCCCACAGAGTCTGAGCAGGAGCACCCCTGAATCCCTGCACTGAGAGCCTGAGGACACCTCGAGGTGAAGACTTTATCTATCTCACCTCCAAAGACTGCATGTCCACTTTAAATGTTTAGCTCTGTAAACTCTAAATCCCACTTGCCAATAAATGAAAGCCCAGGGTGTCCACCAGTGTCACGGTGAACCTCACCGTCCCTGCAAACAGGAAAGAGGAGGGGGAGCCCCGATGGTTACCCCATCAGACGATGTGGTAAGGATCTGTCTGCCTGTCTGGGCAGGGGGAACCCTCACACCAGCCAGTGCTGTTTTCCTAACCCGCTTGCTGGAGATGAGGACGTTCAGATGGGATCTTGCCAGGTCATCCCGGGGCAGAGCCGCCATCAGCCGGCTCCGTGTCCGTCTACCCACCCCATGCTTTCTCTGTAGTGAGGCCCTGGTCCACCCCCAGGCCTCTCGGGAACAGCCCGGTACCTTCTTCCTCATGATGCCCGTTTCTCCTTTGAGCCGCAGGTTTGATTCCTTTTCATCCCGAAGCTTCTTCTCATACTTGGTTTTGATATCTTGGATCTCACGGTCTTCATCTTCTTCGATCTGCTTCTTGGTCTCTTCAAACTCGCGCAGCTGCTGCCTGACAGCCTCCTGGGCCTGGCTCGGAGAGAGGGAGAGTGTGTGCCCAGGGCAGAGGGGACACGCGGCACCCTCGTGCTCAGAGGGACTGGGACGAGGTGAACGTACAAGGCCTATCGTGGGGAGGGGAGGCCGAGTGTTGGTACGGCAGTGGAAACCAAGGCCATGGGTCCCTTGACCCTTCCACTTTCTTTCTGTCCTTCTGTTTGTCCCCCTTTCCCTACCAGATCAGGCCTTGGGCTCTATCACTTCAACCACTGTCCCACCAACACCCCCCAACCCTGTTCCACCTCTGGTCTTCTTCATACTGACACCAGCCCCCTTCTATTTTTCCCTCACTAAACTTGTGACGCTTGTAGCTTTATATTTATTTGTGGAATTACTTGATTGTCTCTCCCATTAGATGTAAGCTCCTCGAGGGTAAAAACCCAGTCTACCACGCCCACCAGGAGTTCCCAGTGTACAACGCACACTGACACACAGTAGGTACTCAATAAATATCTGAATGAATGAGTGAAGCTCTAATTCCACCCTCCCCCTCCTTAATCCAACCAATCCCGTCCTTTTCACCTCTTGAATCCATCCACTTTATGCCTCTGTCACTGCCCAGGCCCCTGTCATCTCTTGCCTGGACTGTTGTCAGCCTCCTAGCCAGCCTCCTGCCTCTGGTCATGCTTCCCTCCAGTCGGATCTAATTCTCTAGTCAAGGGGAGCTTTCTAAACCACACACCTGGTCATGCCAACCCCCACTTGCAAGCCTTCTCTGGCTCACCCTTGTCCTCATGATAGAGTCCAGACTCTTGAAATGGGTCCACAGGCTCTCAGGAGGCAGTTTTGGTGCATCTCCCTGGCCTCAGCCATCACTCCCACCCCAAGCTCTCTCCAGTGTGAACTAACTTCAGATCCCCCAGTGTGCAAGGTCCTCAGCTGCTGAGCCTTGATACCTGCTGTCCCTCTGACTCCAGCGTCTTCCCGTGGCTCTCTCCCATTCTTCCTCCCGCTCTTGGTTCAGCTATCATTTCCCGTGTGAACACTGTACGTCCCCCATCACTTTACATTATATTGTAAATGCCTGTTTGACACGGAGGCTCCTTGACGGCAGGGCCACATCTCCACCCACTGCAGTGAACACCCAGCACATATCTGGTACATGTCGGTGCTGAATGAGGAAAAGCCTAGAGCCCAGATGCTGGGAAAACGAGCTCTGCCTGGTGGAGTTTGGGGAGTGACTGGGGCAGGGCTCCTCCTTGCTCACTGCTGCCCAAGGGTGGACATTTAGATCACGGTAGAGTCAATGTCTTTCTTCTCACACTGACCCTGGTATTCTCCCAGGCTGCACGTACCATCCCTGGACTGAGTGTTTTGGAGGTTGAGTGAGACAAGGTGGTTTTAAAACTGGGCTCAATGGCCTCCTGAGAAAGGCTTCTCTTTGCCCATCACGTCACCAGACCCTTGCTGGACAGAATCCTGGCCAGGGCGGCTCCGACTGCAGCCTAGAGGGGCCCGCAAGCCCCTGCTCTTGGTCTGGGAGATGTTGCTAAAAAGTAGAAGCAGCCCAGCCAGTAGTAAGATGGCACTTGGAAGGAATCTCCCTAGGAATGTTCTGAGTTGAAATCTTACTGACTCAAAAGAAGAAAAGCCTTGTCATCACTGTGGGAGGAAGGCTGGCCTCTCTCCCCTCTGCGAGGATCGATCCATTCACCCTAAAATCAGAGCCCAGCAAACCACGATGTTGCTGTGTAAGCCACATGGGCGAAAGGGGCCCGGGGGTCCTGAGAACACAGAGGAGGGATGCTTAGCCCTGTGGGAGGGAAGGGTTAGGGAGGAATCATCAAGGAGTTAGCTCTTGTCCTGAGTCCCTGAGGGGGCAAACAAGTGCCTAGATGAAGAGGCATCACCCTGAGCAGGGGCTCAGAGGTTGTGCAGGAAACTCCCAGAGGCTCCACATCACTGGACAGGGGCAGCTGGAAATGGGGCTGGGGAGGTGGGCAGGGCAGTGAAGGAACATTCCTCACACCGTGGAACTGGAAGCAGCTTGGGCTCAGGTGGGGGTGGAATCTCTTAGCTCCCCCTCTGCTATCGGAGCTCAGCCTCTGCCAGGTCTGCGGGACCTCCACTTTACTTCTCACCACCTATATATCCCCCACTGCCTGGTCACCCTCCCTGTTCACCGAAGACTTCTGGATGTCAACTCACCATCTTCCCTGCCATCACCAGGCTGGTTACAGAGGATCCTAGAACGTCTCCTGGTGCTTTGACCCTTATCTTCCCGCACCCACTCTCAGGTCCACCCCCTGGAATGGTGCCGCCTCTGAAGTCTTAAAATACAGGGCCTGCTCTCTGAGCACAGGTGACTTCTCTGTTGGATCCCAGGTGTGCCATCCCAGCTCTCAACCTCATCACGTCCCCTCGCCTGGTTGTGATTCCTCCACTGACTCTTGGTGCCTTACTGAACCTCTCTGGCCTGGACCCCGTGGCAGGTCACCAGCCAACATTTATTTTCACCACCAGAGAAGCCCCAGCTCTGGCTCAGGGCGGCTCCAGGCCTTCCTCTCTCACACACCTATTTGCTGAGCCCTGCTGTGGAAAAGCGCACAGCCTGGTGGGTGAACGCCGCCAGAATTCGCCTCTCAGACCTCAGCTGGGCCTTCAGCTACAGACCTGCCCGTCCCCTTCTTAGTCTCTCCCTTCCTCATTCCCTTCAAAAATCACTCCATACTTTCGTGACTCTCCTGCCCTCTCACTGTTAGCAGCAACGTCTGTCAGAATTTCGTGCCAAAAAGGACACCATCTGGCCTCTCTCATTTTCCCTTCATCTTGGGAAACGAGATACTTTGGCAACCCAACTGCTTGAATATTCGATGACTTTGCCCTGCCTGTATGTTCTTAACCTCCTGCATTTCCCAGTCTCCTGGTTAATTCCAGCTTCCAAGCCTCCTGGATCTCGGTAGCTCCTGCCAGCCTTTCCAGACCTTGCAGGCCAGGGTGGGTGCTCTGTGTCTGCATTCCCCACTGTCCCGTCTACACCTTGATGAATATCAGCCTGTGTGACTGCCTTTCTTACCCACTGAGAACCTGGCCCCATGTTTCACTTCGCTTCACCACCCAGCACTCAGGCTGGTAAACCAATAAGACACAGTCTGTGTTTGTTGAGTCAGCGCAGGAATGATTTCACTGGCTTACAATGTCTTGCAAGACATAAGAAGTTACGAAGGGGTTTCAGGCAACCACCTTTCCCATGGTTCAGGTCCCTGTTCCTCTACAGTTCTAGAGGCTTCTTCTAGAAAGCTCTCCCCAGTGCTTAAGGCTCGAAGGTACAGTTAGGAGAGAACAATAGTTATGAACTTAGTCTATCCAAGGAACTTTAGTTTCAAAAGCTGAGCACCTCCCAGCTCAGGGAGTCCCTTGGCCGCCAGGGAAACAAACATATAAACAGCACAAAACAAGGCCAAACGAAACACACTTGGAAAGGAAGGTGGGGAAGGAAATGGAGGTCAAGTGAGGCTTCCCACAGCTCTCTGGGCTGTTCCCAGGCCAGGTCTGCAGGATGGCACCGTGACAGGGAGGCACAGCTCGGCTTCCTGCGAGTACCTCTTCCAGGAGGGTGGTTTTCTCCTGCAGTTTGGTCTCGTAAAACTCAGTCAGCTCCTCCAGGGCCTGGCTCTTGGTCTCATCGTTATCCCGAAGCTGTTTCTCATACTCTTCCTGCATCCTCTGGGACTTGAGCTGCAACTCCTGGTACTTCTCATATTCTAGAAGCAACTTTTGGTTGTTGCAACATTCTGGAGAGAAGCAAGGAAGGTTATTTCAGGAGGGACAGTAGCATCAGCCTCAGGGACACCCAGGGGAGCCTTGGGTGCTTTTCCAGCCTTGGGCCCCCTTCCAGCACCAGCTAGAGCTTCTGCCTCCACAGGTGAGATACAAATGCACACCTGTCTTCCTCACAGGCCCCCCACGCCATCGTCTTGTCTGGCAGCCCGATTTCCTCCCTTCACCGTCTAGGCAGAAAGGTTTCCAGGAAAGTGCAGAGGGGTATTTGGGGGTTCAGGGCCAAGAAGAATGCCCTGAGTGTGCAAAACGGGTACTAGTACCCCCATTTTATGGGATAGTAAACTGAGGCTTGGTGAGCTTAGGTGATTCCCTAGAGCACCCAGCAAGTCCAGGTGAATATGGGACCCAAGGCAGCCTATCAGGCTCCAAACCCACACTTTTCCTATCTCCTACTGGCATGCAGTAGGTGTTTAATTTGTGTTTAATCAATGAGTAAATACACAGGAGCAAAAACCATGGTGAGTTCCAGGGGATAAATGTAGGCTGTTTATAGACTGGGGCTTCTGCTGAATCTGGAGGACTCTCAGACTTTGCTCCCAGTCAACTGCCCTCTGCCCAGTGGCCTCCACTGATGGCCTCACCCAAGTCCTGCAGTTCCCGGCTCTGTTTTTCCAGGAGGTCTTCCATGCGTTCACGATGGAGTGCATCCTGCTTTTCTTTTTCTGCTCTTAAAACCTACGACACAGAGTAAAATGCTCTCATTTCTACACATCTGCTGAAAGCACCACCATGAGAAGCACCAATTGTACAAGTGAGAGCCTCCTTCACTCACAAACATTTCCCAAGCCCTTACTTTGCACCAAGCACTGTTCTACAATCAACATGCAAGCTATCACTTTTATTTGCATTATATTCTGCTCTGAAAGTTCTATGCTACCTCTATTTATATCCTTCTACGAAATGAATCTTGTCAATGATGAGTTCAGTTTTGGACATGCACCAAATGGATTTCTGGGTGGAAAAGGTAAGGATTGATTTGAATTCTATGTTGTCAGCACATTGCTCTCAAGGAAATCCTTGGCTATGTTAATGTATCAGCTTCTAAGAAAGTGTTTTCTTTAATGGAGCAGGAAAGCTCCTTGCAGGAAGGGGAGGTATCTAACTTTGTGCTCAGATTACAGAAGGCACCAATGTTTGTTGATTAAATGAATGAAATAATAAAATTAACTGCCAGGGTGTTTTTAGACCCATGGAGATAACATAAAAGAACAAATATCACTTGAGCAAAAAACTGGCTGTTCTGGTGAAGGGCCAGGCAGATTTGTACAGAACAGAGAAATCATTCTGGGAGAGTCCTGGACCATCTTTAACTACAGGAAGGCCATTTAGACTATATATTTTTTAAATTAATAATTATTTTATTTTTTGGCTGCGTTGGGTCTTCGTTGCTGCGCACGGGCTTTCTCTAGTTGCAACGAGCGGGGGTTACTCTTTGTGGTGCACGGGCTTCTCATTGTGGTGGCTTCTCTTTGTTGCAGAGCACGGGCTCTAGGCACACAGGCTTCAGTAGTTGTGGCATGCGGGCTCCGTAGCTGTGGCCTGCGGGCTCTAGAGCGCAGGCTCAGTAGTTGTGGTGCACAGGCTTAGTTGCTCCGAGGCATGTGGGATCTTCCCGGACCAGGACTCAAACCCGTGTTCCCTGCATTGGCAGGCGGATTCTCAACCACTGCGCCACCAGGGAAGCCAATTTAGACTAATTTTATTTAACCTACTGACAATTCTGAGGTCAATATCCTGCTAGCTCTTCTCTTTCCATACTTTATTTTTCTTGTTACTTTTCATTTTGCTTTTAAATAAGTTTCTCTTGACCACAAAGGTAATATATTCTCATGGTGGAGAATTTGGAAATTATAGAAAAGCATAAAGAACCAAATTTAAACTATCCACAATCCCAACTTCCAGAGATAATCATACTGCTAGCTATTCTCTTAAAAATTGTTCTATGTGTATTTGTTTTACATCATTAATAGCATTCACTATAGAGAGCTCTATATTCTGCTTTTTTTTCCCACTTAGCACTTTGTTGTAAGCATTTCTGATGTTATCAACTATGCTTTAAAATCGCACATTATCATACGTCTTATTGTTTGACCGTGTGCCAGTTGTCTTGAGTGAGCAGGAAATTTCTTGTTATTCACCGTTGTTGGTTCAACAGACCTGGTTTTTCATTTCCAAGGACTCCATTTCCTGGAGGAACTTGTCTGTTAGTTCCTTAACCTTCTCAGAATAGTTCATATCCTTTAGTCGAAGTTGATACTCATTCTCCATTTTTAATTCTTCCACACGAGTCTTCAGCTCCAACATAATCTGAACCTTTGGGAGAAGGACACAGAATCAACAACAATCACAGTGCGGGTGAATCAGACTATTTAAACCCGTGGCCTTGAGCTCTCTGAGACCTACAGCTCTGATCAGCCTCCAACGCATGTGTCATCTTTCTGCACAAGACACACAGACCAGACACTAGGAGAAATATGAGCTTCTTCCTCTACCCTCAAAACGTGTCATCAGTGAGCTCCACTGTGCAACAGGCAGTATGCTAATAATGCACATCTCCTTCAGCTATGCTCAGATGTCACCTCAGTGAGGTCTACACAGACCACAGGACTTAATCCTGCTTCCTTCCCCTTCCCATTCCCGGCACCTCTGACTCCCCCCACCCCCTTACTCTGCTCTACTTTTTATTATTCCCTTAAATCTTGGCACTTTTAAATGTTACTTATTATTTTAGGGTCTTTTGTTTTCATCCCCCACTAGAATTTAATCTCCAAGAAGGCTGAGATCTTTGTTGGTTTTGTATGCTGATATACCCCAAGTACTTAGAACGGTGCCGGACACAGAGTAGGCACTCGAAAAATATTTGTTGAATCATGATTCCTGACCCCATGGAACTTACAGTCTACTGAGACAGCCAAGGAGACTTAACATTACCAATTGTTATAAGTGCCCAAAGCCAGGGAGTGTGCACACAAGCTAGGGTAGAGAAGGACTGAAGGCAGATGCATTGGTTGGGGGGTCTGCATAGTTCAGGTGGGGGACGGTAAAGGCCTGACCAGAGGTGAGGAGCAGAGCAGAAGGGAAAGATTCCAGAGAAAGAGATTTTAGGGAACGTGGTGGCTGATGGGTTGTGGGGTGAAGTGAGAGGACTGTGGATGGAGACCGTCTCCCCGGCCCAGACAATTCCTTGAGGGTTGCATTGGCCTGTCTTGCTTCACTGCTTTATCCTGGGAGCCCAGCACAGGACCGGCACTAAACAAATATGTATCAGATGAATACATGGCCCTGGGAGCCTGCCGCGGATGAGTGGGACACATTTTGGTGGGAATGACCTGGTTCTGACAGGTTGCATTGGAGGCACCTGCTCATTGCCCTTCTCCATCCTTCTCCACATTGCGGCTACAGAGCAGTCTCTTCAGACACAAATCTACTGAGTCATCCCCTAACTTAGATCATCAGTGGGGCCTTAGGAAGCATTTCCAAAGTCTAAAACATGGTGTAAAAGGCCCCTCACTATCTCTCTGTTTCACCTCCAATGCTTCTCTCCGGCACCCCCTCTACTCTCCAGCCCCAGCAGCTAGGAGCATCCTCCCCAGAGCATCCCCCCTCATCCGTTTGCACACACTCATTCCTCGGGGTGGAAGGTCCTTTGCAACTTGTTCTGGAGGCTCCATTCAAGGCTCACTTCCCCTGGCGCCAGCTGGCCTGGGTCAGGGTCCCTTCCCTGTGTTCCCACAGCACAGTTCCTTCATAACACTCATTACACACTTGGTTCCCTTTTAAAATTTTACCTATACTTCTTCCCATGATATAAGCTCCAGGACCATCTATGTCTTTCATTTCTGTAATCCCAGACCTAGTACAGTGTCTGGTACATAGCACATCTTTCTGCAAATACTAGTTAGGTGCATGAATAAATGAATGACTGAATGAGTGGGTAAATCACGATAGTTACATAGAATGTCATAGAATGTAAAGAAAAAGAGAGAGCTGGGAATTCTGGGCAATGTGGCTTTTAAGGCCAGTTGAAGGAAGAGCCAGGAAGGGAGCTGGGGAGGAACAGTCCGAGAGGCACACAGGCAATGATGTGGTGTGGTCTCCTGGAGCCCAAGAGAGAAGGGAATTTCAAGAAGTGAGCGGAACATACACTAGTCACTTCCAGCTTGGCAGCCGTGCTGTCAGGCCTAGCTGGGGGCTGGGGGCTGAGGTCAGGAGTCAGCCCAGACACCTCAGGCTTTTGGTGCAGCCTGGTGTCTCCTATTTGGTGTCTTCCCCTCTCCTTGGGGAAGAAGAGAGAAAATAGAGAAGAAGGAAGAGGAGGAGACACATTTGCCTGCAGGAGGTCAGACTCCTAACTCTCACAGCCTCTCCCTCAGCCTTTCCTCCCACTTCCCTTTCCTGCAGAAAGTTCCAGGGAGCTCTAGGAGGGCTCTCCAGCAATCGCCAGGGGCCTATCATCCTGCTCTGGGGCCATTGTGGTCCTGTTGGCTTCGCTTGTCTCTGCCCCACACTTGGAGTTTTTTTTGTTTCGTTTTGTTTTGTTTGGTGGTACGCGGGCCTCTCACTGTTGTGGCCTCTCCCGTTGCGGAGCACAGGCTCCGGACGCGCAGGCTCAGCGGCCATGGCTCACGGGCCCAGCCGCTCCGCGGCATGTGGGATCTTCCCGGACCGGGGCACGAACCCGTGTCCCCTGCATCGGCAGGCGGACCCTCAACCACTGCGCCACCAGGGAAACCCCTCTGTCCTTCACTTGACTGTGAGTTTCCTGATCACAGGGCCCATCCTGTCTTCTCCCACATGCATCCACAGTGACCAGCAAACAGTAGGTACTCAATGAATGCACTTTAAACTCTGGATGAACAGCAGTGAGCTCGCAGCTGTGCACCCTCTGTGAGCCCCGTGAGGTTACCACCCAGTCGGTTTCTCCCTCGGGGAGCACAGCACTCAGAGCGCTCAAGACACATCTTAACGGACTGTTAGCTGCATCAACAGGAGGGAAGGTGCTCTGAGGTCACGATTAGGAGAGTGCGCTCCAGATGAAGTCTGGATTGGAACTCTGGGCCTACACCTAATTAGCTCAGAGACTTTGGACACGTCACCCAACCTCTCCAAAACCATTTTTTGAAACGTGGGGAAAACAACAGTATCTTCTCCATAGAGATATTGGGAGATTTAAATGAGAAAATACTTATAAAGTAATTATCACAGTGTCTGCTTCGTGGCTAACCTAAAAAAAAGTTGGTGATTGGTTGTTATTACTGTTATTGTTTTATTATTGAGAGGAGTGGGTTTCAGGACTGTTTTATAAATAACTTTGTTTTCTTTTTAAAGAAGTTTCCAGATACCAGCAGTTATTAAGTTTCACAGATACAACTGGAATATACAAGTTTGTCACTTTAATTTTGTAAATATTTATTGGAAATATTTATGTAAATATTTATTTATGCCTTGCACGAGCTGGAAACTGCTGGTCATACAAGCGAATTATATGTCGTGGTTCCTGCCCTCAAAGAGTAGGAGAGGAAAGATAGGTCATAGGCTAGAAGTAGAGCTCAGTGTAAGTCAAGACGATCACGTGGCAGAAGGACAGGTGGGGTGGGGAGGACACAGAATGCAGTGGTGGTGGTGTGGGCGAGCATGTACAGGGAGCTGTGGGAGTCTGTGCTGGGCACAGGGGAAGCCGGGCTAGAGAAGGGCTCTATGCCCTTCTTTGGATGCAGCCTGGTACGGAATTTCCATGTCCCTCTTCACTAGATCCAATTCTTACCTTCTCTTCCATGTCCGTCTTGGTAACCAGCACCTCTTCAGCAAAGCCCACCTCCCTCTCTCGCTTGATTCCCGGACCATCCTTATCAAAGACCTTCCAGGTGAACAGGCAGCCATCCTCGGCGACGCTCAGCAGGAACTGGTCATCAAAGGTGAGCGACATCTGAGGAGACAGAGCATGGACAGGAGGCTTTCACAGGCCGTGGAGAGCAGGACTGAGCCAGCTGTTGTGCAAGCCCTCCCTCCATGCCAGCCTGGGTACAGCCTCCTGGGGAGGAAGACTCTACCTCAGAAAAGACATGAGACAAGAACCCTCACGGGCTTCTGGGAATGAATAAAAGAATAAGACTATGTATATGTTCTCTGTGGATTTGGAATCTTTAGAGTCAATTATTATGTACACTATATAAGAACTCTCAAAACTCAGCAGTAAAAGAACCCGATAATCCAACTAGAAAGTGGGCAAAAGACACAGAGACATTTCACTGGAGAAGTTATACAAATGGAAAATAAGCACATGAAAAGATGTTCAGCATTATTAGCCATTAGGGAAATGTGAATTAAGACTATGATGAGATGTCACTATACACCTATTAGAACAGCTAAAATAAAAAATAGTGATAATACCAAATGCTGGCAATGATGCAGAGAAACTGGATCTCTCATGCATTGCTGGTAGGAATGGAAAACAGCTTGGTAGTTTCTTAAAAAACGAAATAAACACACTTGTAATATATGATCCAGCAATAGTATTCCTGGGCATTTACCCCAGAGAAATGAAAACATGTCAACATAAAAGCCAGTACATAATTGTTCATAGCAGTTTTATTTGTAATAGCCCAAAACTGGGGGAAAAAAAATCAAATATCCCACAAGAGGTAGATGGTTAAACAAATCACGGTACATCCTTACCATGGAATTCTACTCAGCAAAAATGGAATAAAGTATTGATACATGAAATAACTTGCATGGAGCTCAAGGGTATTATGCTGAGTGAAAAAAGCTCCTCTCGGGGTTTCCCTGGTGGCGCAGTGGTTGACAGTCCGCCTGCCGATGCAGGGCACACGGGTTCGTGCCCCAGTCCGGGAAGATCCCACATGCTGTGGAGCGGCTGGGCCCGTGAGCCATGGCCGCTGAGCCTGCACGTCAGGAGCCTGTGCTCCGCAACGGGAGAGGCCACAGCAGTGAGAGGCCCGCGTACCGCAAAAAAAAAAAAAAAAAAAAAGCTCCTCTCAAATGGTCACATACTGTATGATTATTTATATAAAATTCTCAAGATGTCAAAATTATAGAAATGGAAAGCAAATTAGTGGTTGCTGAGGACTAGGTATGGTGTTGGGTGACTATGAAGGGTAGCACGAGGGAGCTGCTGTGGCGCAGGAATAGTTCTGTGTCTTGCGTGCAGTGGTGGTTATACACATTTATGCATCTATGTGAAAAAATGATACAGAACCCCACACATAATGTACCAGTGTCAGTTACATTAGATGTAACTATTTGGGGAAATTGGGTGAAGGGCACACAGGACCTTGATGCTACCTTTCAGATTTCCTATGAATCTATAATTACTTCAAAATAAAAAGTGAAAAGTAAAGAATCAACTATGGAAACTGTCCTCTCACAATCACCAATATGTGTCAAGAACCTTAAAAATGGCAATGCTCTTTCCATCAGGATTCGCTCTTTGCCTAGGCATTTAGCCTTAGAAAATAATCAGAGATGCTCAGAGAAATCTATAGGCTAGGATATTCATGAGTTCATGATAATTTAAATGCCCAGTTGTAAGAGAAGAGTTAAATAAGTTACGTTCCATCATTGTGATAGGATATTTGAATAGCTACTAAAATCATGCTTTTGAGGAACATTTAATCATACAAAAAATGCTTACAAGAGCATAAATTTAAAAAAAGCAGCCTACAAGAGCATACGTACAGTATGGTCTTAATTTATTTAAAGCATATGCACAAAAAAGTAGAAGAAAATGCATCACTATATTAATGATAATGCTATTATGAGGATTTTTATTCCTAAAATAAACATGTATTGCTTTTATAATCAGAAAAGTAAACATCTTATCCACAAAACTTAGTAGCTCTGAAGCAAAAGGGGGGAATATGTGATAGTAATTTACTTTGGACCCAAGACTCATGCTCAGTATAGGAATGTTCCAGTTTATAATGAAAAAGCCTTTCCTAGTAAAGATGGTGTCTGCAGGCAAGCCGGTATAGAGTTTGGGACATAATTAAAAACCTCAGGTGTTGGTATTGTTCAGTTGGGGATAAGAGAGGCGAGGAGGGAGAGAAAACATATCTTCCCAGTGCCTGTTCTTCAGGAGCCCATGTGTACATAGACACTGCTTTTTTACAAGGGGGAATGGAAGGACAATTTACAAATGTGTGCTCATGCTATGACCCCCAGGGACGGGTGGGGGCTCATCTCCTGGGCCATGGCTCCTTTTAGTCCAGAGTGACTCTGTGGAGGGCGAGGAGACCTGTGAGCCTTTAGTAGCCAACACTCGGCAGCTGGGACACGAGGGCCCTGGCTGTGGCCAGGGGGCCTATAACATCTCTCGCATGGCCCATAATTATGCGAAATATTATGATGAACAACATTGTACCTCAATCTTTAGGTGCATCTCTGATTACCTCCTAGAACAAATTCCTGGGAGTAGTTTAAACAAAGAGTATTAAGAGCCAATAAATGTTTATTGAACATTTGGCTGGAGGAATAAATAAAGGGAGAGAAAAGATGCTGGGAGTTTGAAGGGATAAAGGTGGTATGTGGAGGGCAGGACCAGGTGGATCTATTTATTGAGAGCTGGATCTGGGACTGGGCCCTAGGGGAGACGGTTGCCCTCACCTTGGTGATAGGACCGCAATGGGCCTGGTACTCGTTGAATTCTTTCTGCAGAGGCAGCGGGTACTTCATCGCACGAATGGTTCCCACCGAGGTGCCCACGAACATCATGTGTCCGGAATGGGAGATGACGACGGCTGTGTAGGTGACATCAAATGCTGACATCTCTCGAAGGACCTGGAACACAGCCAGCTCTGTTCAGGGTGAGGGGCTGAGCCGTGTACCCACTGTCCCCATGTCATTCTCCTCCTTGCTTCTAATAGCAACATTAGGACAAGTTCTGGATTTAAAAATGTGCTTTTTCCATTTGTTTTAGCATCTGGCATACCGGCCAGCACATAAGGGGCACAAACTAAATATTTCTTGGCTGCTTGACCGATGAGTAAGCAGCTCTAGGAGTTAGGAATAATACTAAAAAAGGGAAACCTTCATAAAGCATGTGCCAAGCAGTGTTCTATGGCTTTTACAGGTTGTAACTCATCCAATCCTCACAAAAACCCTTTAAAGATGGTGAAACAGTCACAGAGATACTAGGTAAGTTGCCTCAAATCAACCACCTCCTAGGTAGCAGTCAGGCTCCCAGGACTATGCTCTTGACTGCTATTCTACCATGTATCTCAAACTAAGAATGGGATGTGGATCATCAATTTATTTAGCAAACATTTATTAATGTCCATTATATACACAAAAAACTATTCTATCAGGGAATTCATTCATTACTTTGCTCTTTAATTCACTCATCAACCCACCCACCCATCTAGTCACGAAATATTTACTGAATGTGTGCTGTGGGCCATGCATTGTGCCAGCTAGTAGGGATACCAAGAGGTGTGAACCATGGCCCTGCCCTAAAGGAGCTTTGTCCTGGTGCAGCACTGTGGAAGCCACCACAGAGTCAGGACCAAGCTACTTGGGGGCACACTGGAGAGACACCCTACTCTCAGCTGGGCTTGTGGAGAAGGACACAGCCACATTTGCAGGAAGTGTCTTTGCTGAGCTCTTCTCTTCTCCCTCAACTATCTGGAGCCAACATGCTAATTCTAAAATTTCAGAGTGGTTTGGGGATTTCCAAACAAATATGGTAGCAAGCTTAGGTGATAGCAATAACTAGAGTTCTGTTTTTACCCCACGAAAGCATGTGCAGATCAAGGGTTAGAGCACAGTTTAGAGATGCTGCTGACCTCCATCCCTGGAGGGTAGGAGAGAAGTTACAGACAGCAAGCAAAGTAGAAATGGAAAAGGGCCCCACAATGTAACCCAGTCAGTTGGACGCTGGGCAGGAAATGCCAGGAGCAACAATTACTGAGCTGACCCTATAGGAATGAGAAGCCAGGTGTTATCCCATGAAGAAGGGACGCTGTTCTCACAGGCCCCCTTTCCATCCCTTTCTGCTGTAAACACAGGAGGCTGTCTTCTGCAAATCAGGGCAGCAGCCCAGAGGAGGGACAGGGGCAGACTTACTGAAGAATCTGCGATCTCCTTGAGAGTCTGGTCTGAACCAACAGCAAAGATGATTTTGCCATCAGGGGAGATGGCAACACAGTTGTAACTGCAGGACTTGAGCACACATTCTGTCTCTCTCTTTCCTGTGGACAGATTCCATTCATATACAGCACCATCTGTGCCACAAGAAATCAGTTTGCTGTCATCTGTATTCCATGCAACTGAACGAATCTATGGGGGATGAAGACATACCCAATTAGGAGTGTGCACACACACACGCCTTTCACGGAAAGAGGATAACTTCTTTCTTTTTTTAAATTATTATTTTTAACATCTTTATTGGAGTATAATTGCTTTACAATGATGTGTTAGTTTCTGCTTTATAACAAAGTGAATCAGTTATACATATACATATGTTCCCATATCTCTTCCCTCTTGCATCTCCCTCCCTCCCACCCTCCCTATCCCACCTCTCCAGGCGGTCACAAAGCACCGAGCTGATCTCCCTGTGCTATGCATCTGCTTCCCACTAGCTATCTACCCTACGTTTGGTAGTGTATATATGTCCATGCCTCTCTCTCGCTTTGTCAAAGCTTACCCTTCCCCCTCCCCATATCCTCAAGTCCATTCTCTAGTAGGTCTGTGTCTTTATTCCTGTCTTACCCCTAGGTTCTTCATGACATTTTTTCCCCTTAAATTCCATATATATGTGTTAGCATACGGTATTTGTCTTTCTCTTTCTGACTTACTTCACTCTGTATGACAGACTCTAGGTCTATCCACCTCATTACAAATAGCTCAATTTTGTTTCTTTTTATGGCTGAGTAATATTCCACTGTATATATGTGCCACATCTTCTTTATCCATTCATCCAATGATGAACACTTAGGTTGTTTCCATCTCCGGGCTATTGTAAATAGAGCTGCAATGAACATTTTGGTACATGACTCTTTTTGAATTATCGTTTTCTCAGGGTATATGCCCAGTAGTGGGATTGCTGGGTCATATGGTAGATCTATTTGTAATTTTTTAAGGAACCTCCATACTGTTCTCCACAGTGGCTGTATCAATTCACATTCCCACCAACAGTGTAAGAGGGTTCCCTTTTCTCCACACCCTCTCGAGCATTTATTGTTTCTAGATTTTTTGATGATGGCCATTCTGACTGGTGTGAGATGATATCGCATTGTAGTTTTGATTTGCATTTCTCTAATGATTAATGATGTTGAGCATTCTTTCATGTGTTTGTTGGCAGTCTGTATATCTTCTTTGGAGAAATGTCTGTTTAGGTCTTCTGCCCATTTTTGGATTGGGTTGTTTGTTTTGTTATTGAGCTGCATGAGCTGTTTATATATTTTGGAGATTAACCCTTTGTCCGATGATTCATTTGCAAATATTTTCTCCCATTTTGAGGGTTGTCTTTCCGTCTTGTTTATGGTTTCCTTTGCTGTGCAAAAGCTTTGAAGTTTCCTTAGGTCCCATTTGTTTATTTTTGTTTTTATTTCCATTTCCCTAGGAGGTGAGTCAAAAAGGATCTTGCTGTGATTTATGTCATAGAGTGTTCTGCCTATGTTTTCCTCTAAGAGTTTGATAGTTTCTGGCCTTACATTTAGGTCTTTAATCCATTTTGAGCTTATTTTTGTGTATGGTGTTAGGGAGTGCTCTAATCTCATACTTTTATATGTACCTGTCCAGTTTTCCCAGCACCACTTATTGAAGAGGCTGTCCTTTCTCCACTGTACATTCCTGCCTCCTTTACCAAAGATAAGGTGACCATATGTGTGTGGGTTTATCTCTGGGCTTTCTATCTTGTTCCATTGATCTATCTTTCTGTTTTTGTGCCGTACCATACTGTCTTGATTACTATAGCTTTGTAGTATGTCTGAAGGAGGATAACTTCTTACGTATTCCACTAGACTGAGGCAGAATGTCCTTTCCTGGTACATGCCCTTCAGTAAACACTAATCATAGCTTTGTGGGAAAGTTAACATTCTATTTTCTCATATGCTTGCAAAATACTGAAGATGAAACATTCCCATTTCCATTTCACTTTATGAGTGTAAAGATGGAATCATAATAGCTCCTCTAACACTACAATCAACCATTGCTATGTTTTACAAAACCTTTTATTTTGAAATAATTATCTATTCACAGGGAGTTGCACAAATTGCACAGAGAGAGGGTTCTTCCAGATGGCAGAGTAAGTACCTCAGCTGACCTAACCCCCACACAATAAGGTAACTGTTAAAAACGATAAAAACAGTTATGTAAAGTCTTTGGAAATTGTCCTAAGGGCATGCAGCAAATGTAGAAACATTCATTCAGGAAAATCTCCTCAATCTCAGTAGGAACAGAGACTGTGGCATATGAGCCATAATCGGCTCCTTTACCCTCTTCAGCTTCAAACACTTTATTCCTGTGTACTCTGGGCAGGTGTGGCTCCCTTTCTTCCTGGATCTCAGCCTTTGGGGCTCCCTTTCCCCCTGGATCTCCGTCTTTGGCTATGGTTTCACCCTGGGAAACCTGCTGGTGTTTCTTATCCCCACCTAGAAGCTCTATTCCAGGCAGGCGTGGCCAAGAAGACCTCATCTTCCTTCCCCCAGCCAATTCCCACCTGTTGGTGGAAGCTCTACTCCAAGTGCAGGAGCACGAGAATACCGGTGCCCCGACTACCCCGCCCCAGCTAACTCATAGGGTGAGGGTTCCGCACCATGAGGGGGGAGCTGAAAAGATGAGGGATTCCACCCCCTTTCCACCTGCAAGTGCCACTCACGGAGTAGGGATGTCACTCTTGGAAAAGAAGGTCCCTACCCCCGGCTCTGGTGCAGTGGAGCAGGGGCTCTTCCCAGAGGGAAGTCAGCCATAAGACAAAGGAGCCCTACAGCTCTGCCTGAGGAGACTGGCTTATTTGGAACAGAGCATGGAGAATTCCATCCACGGGCATCATCTAAATCAATGGAGATCTAGGTGGAGGGCGATTAAGAGAAGGCTGGTAACTCCTTGATATAAGCAAGATGGCAGAACAACAGAATTGTAATAGAGAGGACAAGGGAAAGAGACAGTCAGGAGAGCCCTTCTGGGATCATAGACAACTCTGGGGATCGGGAAGGCTGTATGTATGTGCAAGGCTGCACCCACTCAAGAGCAATCAGAGCAGGATATGGGGAACACTTGAAAGCATCTCCTAAGCTGCACAATGACTCATTAACACAGGGCGGAAGCATCACAGGCACAAGGGGTTTAAACACATCTGACCAAACACTAACTGAGTACTAAGCAGCTGACCCAGGGGCATTTCCCAGGAAGTCAGGCTTACAAATAAAACCATGCTTATATCTGGCAGCCTGGAAGGCTGTGTGCATGGCTAAGGCTGCACCCTCTCAGGTACAATCAGAGAGGGAATCTCCAAACCGCTAGTCTCTGGCTAAACATGGAGCAAAAGCATAAACTCAATGAACTGTGACAGCAGCCTCTAAGCCAAACACAAATCCAACAGTAAAGGGTGAAAATCTAACTGGCTAAGGGGCCTTAAGCACCATCTTAGGTCAACCAGGGGCAAGCCCTAGGTAGCCAGGCTAAAAGATCAAAATAGAAAAACATCCAAGCAGAGACATCCGAGGCTGCCCACTGTAGGAGAAAAAAAAGATTTCTCAGAATTAGTTCAGCCAAGTTGCTAAACAAAACAACCAAATAAAATCTTTCTAGCCTTTTCCCCTTTTCGTATTTGTAACTCCGTTCTCCCATAGAGAGAGACTGGCTCCCATGAATTCCAATACGTTAATGGATTTTCTCAGTCTCCTTGTAAGTAACAAACCTGCTGACCCACTGGTTACCTCTTTGGGTGTTCCCATGACTACAGTCCTGTCAGCCACATCTCTGTCCTAGCTCTACCCTGTCTCAGTCCTAGCTCTACCTCTTAAATTGCATTTTCTAATTGTTTTCTACTATCATGTAAAAATGCACTTAAATATAGTTATTTCCAACAATATTCTTAGATTCACTAATTTTAATAGTTTATCTGCAAATTCTCTGAATTTTCAACATACCTGATTATGTCTGTGGTGATAGTTTTATTTCGTCCCGTCCAACCTTCATGCCTTTTATTTTGCTATGGCCTGAATGTCTGTGTCTCTCACTACCTCCTCACCCCAAAATTCATATTTTGAAATCCTGACCCTCAAAGATGATGGTATTAGGAGGTGGGGCCTTCGGGAGGTGATTAGGTCCTCAGTGCTTCCCTCATGAGCCCTTATAAAAGAGGCTCCAGAGAGCTAGCTTGCTCCTTCCACCATGTGAGGATACAAGAAGTCTGCAGGCAGGAAAGAGGGCCCTCTTCTGACCATGCTGGCACCTTGATCTTGGACTTCCCACACTCCAAACTGTGAGGAAAATTTTCTGTTGTCTATAAGCTATCCAGTCTATGCTATTTTGTTATGGTAGCCCCATGGACTAATACATAGTTCATTTCCTTGCCTTATTGCACTGGATAGGACTCAGTACAAGGCTAACAGAAGGCATCATGTATTGTCCTCTATCTCACAGGGAATGCTTTCATAATTTCATAATCAAGCATGCTGTTTGTTGTAGGTTTTCTGTGTCTTTTTTTTCTCCAGGCTGTATTTTTTTTTTTACTATTTATTTATTTATTTGGTTTCACTGGGTCTTAGTTGTGGCAGGCGGGCTCCTTAGTTGCAGCACGTAGGCTCTTTGGTTGCAGCAGGCAGGCTCCTTAGTTGTGGTTTGCCGGCTACTTAGTTGTGGCCTGCAGGCTCCTTAGTTGTGGCATGTGAACTCTTAGTTGTGGCATGCATGTGGGATCTAGTTCCCTGACCGGGGATTGAACCCAGGCCCCCTGCATTGGGAGCGCAGAGTATTACCCACTGCGCCACAAGGGAAGTCCCTGTAAATGTCTTATATAAGATTTTTAGGGACTTCCCTGGTGGTCCAGTGGTTGAGAATCTGCCTTTCAATGCAGGGGACATGGCTCGAGCCCTGGTCAGGGAACTAATATCCCACATGCCTCAGGGCAAAAAGCCTGCACTCTCTAGAGCCCGCGTGCCACAACTAGTGAGCCCGTGCACTGCTACTGAGCCCGTGAACTCTGGAGCCCACACGCCACAACTAGAGAGAAGCCTGCACGCCACAACAAAGAGCCCGCATGCTGCAATGAAGATCCGTGTGCCACAGCTAAAGACCCAGTGCGGCCAAATAAAATATTTTTTTAAAGTACCTAAAATATTTTTTCTAATATAATAAGTTCCCCATTATTTTTAGTTTGTTTTTTAAAATCATGAATGCATGTTAATGGTATAGATTTTTATTATATCTGGATTTATAGAGATAAGCATATGCTTTTTTATCCTTACTACGTTAATGTGGTATTCACTAATTGATTTCAAAATCTAAAATAACCTTGCATTCCTGGAATAAATCAACATGGTCATGCTGTATTATCCTTTTAATATATTGCTTGATTGGTTTGATGATAATTTATGTAGGACTTTTTATGTTCATACAAAAGACTGGCTTATCATTTTCCTTTCTTGTGATGTCTTTGACAGGTATCACAATTATGCTGACCTCCTAGAACAATGTTGGAAGTATTTGCTTTTTTTTTTTTTTAATTCTCTAGAAGAGTTTTTTCAAGATTAGTGTCATGTTTTCCTTAAAACTTGATATACTTCTCCAGTGATAGTTTTCTTTGTCAGAAGGTTTTAAATTACAGATTCAATTTTTCTAGGAATTGTCAGTTCATCTATGTATTCACATTTATTTACATAAAGTTGTTCATAATATCTTCTTATGATCATTTTTAATGTCTGTAGGACCTGTACTGATATCCCTTTTTCATTCCTCACATTGGTTACTTATATCTTCTCTCTATCTTTTTTTCCCCTTAATCAGCTATGCTAAAGGTTTGTTCATTTTGAGTTTTCAAAAAATCAAGTTTTGTCATGTACCGCAATGTTCATTGCAGCTCTATTTACAATAGTCAGGACATGGAAGCAACCTAAGTGTCCAATGACAGATGAATGGATAAAGAAGATGTGGCACATATATACAATGGAATATTACTCAGCCATAAAAAGAAACAAAATTGAGTTAGTTGTAGTGAGGTAGATGGACCTAGAGTCTGTCATACAGAGTGAAGTAAGTCAGAAAGGGAAAAACAAATACTGTATGCTAACACATATATATGGAATCTAAAAAAAAAAAAAAGGTTCTGAAGAACGTAGGGGCAGGACAGGCATAAAGACTCAGACGTAGAGAATGGACTTGAGCACATGGGGAGGGGGAAGGGTAAGCTGGGAAGAAGTGAGAGTGGCATGGACATATATATACTACCAAATGTAAAATAGATAGCTAGTGGGAAGCAGCTGTATAGCACAGGGAGATCAGCTCAGTGCTCTCTGACCACCTAGAGGGGTGGAATAGGGAGGGTGGGAGGGGAGACGCAAAAGGGAGGGGATATGGGGATGTATGTATATGTATAGCTGATTCACTTTGTTATACAGCAGAAACTAACACACCATTGTAAAGCAATTATACTCCAATAAAGATGTTAAAAAGATAAAAATTTTAAAAAAATCAAGTTTTGGCTTTGATGATCTTCTATTGTGTGAATGTTCTCTGTTTCATTAACTCCTGCTCTTATCCTGATGACGTCCTTTCTTTTGTTTTCTTTGAATTAATTTGCTGTTCTATTTCTAATTTATTGAGCTGGATGGTTATATCACTGATTTTCATCTTTTTCACTTTTCCAATACATGTATTTAATGTCATAAATTTCCCTGTATGCATGGCTTTAGCTGCATGCTCCATCTATATTTTCTTTTGTTTTTGTTTTTTCTTGCAGTATTACACATGTAAGCCTAACATATATCCCTGGTTGGAGACAAGTGTTATAAATTCTTGTAAAGTGATGAAACATGGCTGCTCTCCTGGGTTGGTGAGGTAGGGCCTCCTATGGGAGTGTGCATGGTCCTGGAAAGAGCATCACATTCACCTGGCGTGCTTTCCTCCGCATCTCCACAGTCACACTGTTGGAGCTGAGGAAACGCAGCAACTCTCAGTACTGCTTGTGCTTAACAGCACTTTTGCTTGTGACCTGTTAATTGCTAAACTCAGTGGTCACTTTTTAGTATTCACACCCCACTCTCTGACATTTAATACCACTGACTACTTTATCCTTTTGGAAACCAGTTCCCCGGCTTCTTTGATACAATTCCTCGATTCCAGGTTCTCTTTGTACCTCATTTGCAGTCTCTCTCTTCTTTACCAGTCCCTTAAATGTTGGTCATTCATCTCCTGCCCAAGATCTCAGATTCCGCATGAGCCCTTGGTGATCTAATCTATGCCTCTGACTTCTACTGACTACCACCTAATCCCCTGAATTGGAATTTTTAGCCTTGACTTCTTTCTGACCTCTGCACTCATATATCACACTCCTGGACACATCAAATATAACGTGTCCAAAATGGAGCTTAATATCTTTTTTCTCTCTGTCCCTACTACTAAAGCCATGGTTTAGTTCCTAGCTCCTTTTTCACCCTCATTTCCTAGCTGATCTCCTTCACTCCAACTTCCCTCCCCTCTAATCCATCCTCAGTACTGTTTGGAGAATTATCTTTCTGATACCATTACTTCCTTTCTTAAATCCTTCCGATTGTTTCTCATCACCTACAGACTAATGTTCAATTCCTTGGCATGGCATACACACTCCATGGTGCAGCAGACTTCTCCAGCTCCTCCTTCTATCACTCTTTAAATGTGCCCTATAAACCACAAACCACCATCCTATTCTATACTCCCATTCCTTCATCTACAACACATCCTGCTGCTTAGAATGCTTTTCTTTTCCCATTGCTTGTTCTCTCCAAATTCATCTGCTGACTTCTTACCCTTTCAATCTTTAGTCTCTCCGTTTTCTGCATGCTCCATATCTACTTTATCTTTAGGAACTACTGGTTTTACTTCCTAAATATCTTTTGAATCCATCCATTTCTTCCTATTGGTACCACCTCCATCCTGGTCTAAAATACTAATCATTTATCATGTAGATAACAATCTCCTTACCATTTCCACTCTCGTCCTTTTCAATACAATCTTCATTCTGCAGCCAAAGTAATGTTTTAAAATGTAGATATGGTCATATCATTTCTTGTCCTAAAAGTCTTCAATGATTTCATGGAACAGGAAGGATAAAGTATAAAATCCTTAAAAGGCCTACAAGGTTCCATGAACAAGGTTCCATGAACTTGGGTCGCTGCTAACCTCACCAATCTCAGTTTCATTGCTGATACTTATGCTTCAGTCTCACAGATGGTTCCTCCTATACCTTTAGAAATCTCCCATCTCAGGGTCTTTGTTTATTTATTTATTTTTGGCTGCTTTGAGTCTTTGTTGCTGAACATTGGCTTTTCTCTGGTTGCAGTGAGAGGAGGCTACTCTTGGTTGCGGTGCGTGGGCTTCTCATTGTGGTGGCTTCTCTTGTTGTGGAGCATGGGCTCTAGGCACGCAGGCTCAGTAGTTGTGGTGTGTGGGCTTCAGTAGTTGTGGCACGTGGGCTCAGTAGTTGTGGCTCACGGCCTCTAGAGCACAGGCTCAGTAGCTGTGGCACACAGGCTTAGTTGCACTGCGGCATTTGGGATCTTCCTGGACCAGGGCTTGAACATGTGTCCCCTGCATTGGCAGGCGGATTCTTAACACTGTGCCACCAGGGAAGCCCAGGGTCTTTGGATCTCTATCTGCAATGATTTTTCCCACCAGCTCTGTCTGATTAATTCCGAGCCACTCCTTAGGACCAAGCCTTCGTGAACATCCCAATTTCCCTCATCATGCCCACTCCTCACCACTTCCTCTCATAACAACCCATATTTTTCTTTCATTGAGTTTACTATAGTTAGTACTTAAATCTGTCTGTGCATTTGTTTTATTGTCATTTCCCCCAACTAGACAGGGACCTTCGAGGGAAAGGAATCACTTCTCTTTTGTTCACTTATACCCCATTGGCTAGCATGATGCTTGGCTCTGAGTCCTTGTTTCCTTGGACGCTGTTCACTCACTTACCTTCCCTGTGTGTCCTTTCAGATTCGAGATGTTCTCCAGGCTGGTGGTGGAAAAAATGTGAATCACATTCCCATTGACTGCAGCAAACAGGTGACCTCCATTGCTAAAGCAACACTACCAGGAAATACAGGAAGAGAGCAAGAATGAAAGACAGTAGTCTATCTGGAGGTTACAGTTGAGTTCAGGGTGAAACCATGCGTAGGATTGGGAATCAGGGGAAGGTGCAAATAGGACTGAGAAGTGCTGACATCTTCACTTTCACTATTCCTGTAGCTCATATTGGCCAAGATGCTGACATTACCACGTGCACGAATCATGAAGGTGCTTGGGTCAGAGAATAGAACACTCATTTTGTCTGCAGAAGTTTCAGAACAGGGGAGCAATTCCTCAAATCACTGTCTTGATTCCACAACTCATCTCAGGGGGAAATCTGATGGGCTATTTTCTCTCCCTGTTGCTCATTTTCCCTGGCCCCTCCCAATCGCCAAACTCGCCTTCCCAGCTGTGACTCCGATTCTGTGATAACTTTCTTTTTAATGTTTTTTAAAAAAATATTACTCCACAGTCACAGAGTGGACTGATCACAGGTGGGATCTCACATGGTTTGGTTCAGTGATATATTTGGTGGGCATAAAAGAAAGAGGATAGAACCAACATACTCAATAAGTTTGGTGGGAGAATTGGATTTCTTTTTAAGCCACCTGAATTCTCTAAGACAGTCTTTGGTCCTACCTCCCCAGTTGTGCTAGTTCTTGATATTTCAACTCTGGCTTTCCAAGAAACTGGACCTTTATCTCCAGCAGTTCTTACCTCTTTGCACCCTCTGACAGAGTATTCTTTGAAAGAACGTATATCATCAATGAGTAGATTCATAAGGCGTAGTTTGTCAGCAAACCCTACGACAACGTAGTGTCCAGATGGGTGAAGGCTGATTGTATAAGCTTCTTCTTGGTATTCCTTAAATAGTTCCAGGGTGCTGTGAAAAAGATAAATTATTGAATATAAGTCTAGCCCACTGAGTCCCTCAAGTCCTCCATTGTATCTGGTACATATTTTTATCCTAGCGTTTGAGATACTTTATTACTTGCAATTATTGGTGCCTCTTTTTCTAGATTTTGGTTACTTGAGCATAGTGTCCAGCAATGAGTATGGCAAGTAAGGGGACTGAATATGGCATTGTCTAGACATGTTGAAGGCACAGCTCCATTTAGATTTCCAAATCAGAAGTATTGCACAGTTTTTTTTCCAGCAGCCCCAGCAGCTATATACAAGAGCAAAGAAGTTACGTCATGGGGCCAATCTAGGCTGGAGATTCTCAAGGAAGCTGTGCCAGGAGGATAAAATCACTGGGAGCTGAAGGTGGTTGGGGCAGTGATCTGGATTCAAAGGGCAAATCAATGGTCTGGAGAGCTCCGTGGGGCAAAAAGCAGGTCTAGTGGGGGTGAGGGGATAGGGAAGCTAGAAGGACACAGGAGGGTATGTAAGGACGGGAGATATTGGGATGTTTCTTTATGTCCCACGTGCCAAGCATGGTGTCTGGCACGTAGCAAGCACTGAATAAAGTATAAAGTGATTTTCTAGCTCATGCAAGAGTGAAAAGTAAAGAGAATAAGGTAGTTTGACTGACTTGATTAAAAAAAAACTTTTCCAACAGAAAGCTTCTAAGTAATTAAAATTTCAAACCTCTAATTAAAATAATTCGCATGGAAAATTTAACAACTGAAATCGTGCATATCACAGTAGCAAAGCCTTTCACTCCTTACTTTGATTCGTAATTCCAGATGCGAACAGACCGATCCACAGAGCAGGTGGCAATGAGGGGTTTGCGGATGCAAGTAGCTAGACCAGTGATGGATGCTGAGTGTAACGGGTACATCAGATACTCAAAGTGGGCAGGCTCCCCCTGGAGAAATCATACAGAATGAGATCGGGCAGAGGAAGCAAAATGCTGGTAATGCACTCCAGCTCTCATTACTACTTATGGACGTCCATTAGCCCAGATGCACAGAAATCAGGCTGTGGGCAAACTGCTTTAACATTATGCATATTTTCCTATACCATTATTATTTTAAAACATCATTTTAATGGCAATAAAGTATTTTATTCTATGAATATACCAGAATTTAATTTATCTATCCTTCTACTGTAGGAACGTTTAAGCGGTCTCTGATTTTTGTTAGTTAGGGGTAACACTAGGCTAAATATTCTTACATGTAAGTCTGTGCTCCTCTCTGATTACTTCCTTAGATACTGTAGGGTAAGTGCCTGACATTAAGCTTTTGAGTCTCAAGGCAACTATTTCAAAGGACATCCATCTTGAATAAACATATTGCCAGTTGTATGACACAGCTACCAGCCAAATAATCTGCCAAGGAATTAAGCCGTCCCCACCCTTGAAGATCCCTTTTGCAGAAAGTCCTGGATAACTTAAATAACTGACTTCTTGAGTGACCCCACTTTTCTCTTCCTGTGGCCTAATTCTCACTCTCATGGCTAAATGACCATTAAATCAACAGTGAACTCGCAAAACCCTAGACACCCCACCTTCAAATCTTAATAAATGCAGAGCCCCAGGCCCACCTCTCTCTAACCATGGCCTCACTGTGTGGCCCTTGGGCTTGCTCTGTACCCTCCAGGACCTGTGAGTAAGAAATCTTGTTCCTCAAAGTTCCCTGATGGCTTTTTTTTTTTTTTTTTTTTTTTTTTTTTCGGTACGCGGGCCTCTCACTGCTGTGGCTTCTCCCGTTGCGGAGCACAGGCTCCGGACGCGCAGGCTCAGCGGCCATGGCTCACGGGCCCAGCTGCTCTGCGGCATGTGAGATACTCCCGGACCGGGGCACGAACCCACGTCCCCTGCATCGGCAGGCGGACTCTCAACCACTGCGCCACCAGGGAGGCCCCCCTGATGGTTTTTGATGAAGTACATCCTACAATCACAATAGGAACCAAAGGGCCAGTCAGGCCACAGCATTGGCCCTGGTTGGGGGAGTGTATGTGGGGCCTTTGCTGGGAGTAATACCGCTCCCGGGGAGGGCCTCCGGCATTCCTAGCTGATGGCATCACCACCAATAGGTTGGGACCCACACAACAGATATATTTCTAGAAGTGGAATACAGGGCAAAATGGTGTGAATGATTTTCAAGATCTTAATGAGAACTCCCAAATTTCTCTGCAGGGAGACTATGTTACTCCACAAGCAGCAGCAAGGAGAATTGGGTGAATGATTTGAAGTTAATATTTATCCTATTGCACTGCTTGTGTAGATTCCAGGTGTCTGTCATCAGAGACATTACACCTGGGACACCTGAATGAGGAGTGATGACTGGGGAGTTTAATGAGGTGTACATACTTTGTTCACAAGCCAAGGCAAAGGCTGAGCTGGCAATCCCCTCAAATTCAGACGCTTCCCTTCTCTACTGTGTCAGAAAGAGGTGCTGGGCTGGGGTGGGGGTAGGCACAGATTATTCCCATTCTTCTCCATCTGCTTCCCCTTCTTTCTCCAATATCTTCAATCTTGCTGTCTCTACTAGCACATTTCTATTAGCTTTTTTTTTTTCCCCTGAAGGATGAGCAAGAACTAATGTGGGGAAGGGGACAATATAAGAGTGCCCCAGGCAGAGGTAGGAGCATACTGAAGCCTTTTGGCAGAGGGAACATGCAGACTCATGGTGATCAGAAAGGCCAGTCCTATCAGGTGGAATGATGGGATGGGGCTGCGGAGGGCAGCCTGGGCCAGACATTGCCCAGCCCTGTGCACCTAGTTCAGTTCTTCTCAGAGCACCAGGAAGCCAATGAAGGATCGCAGCTGTGATGACGGTGGAGGTGGTGGAGGATGTGTATTTTGCGATAACCACATCTGGGATTTGAAAAGATCACTCTGGCAGCCAAACAGAATATAAATCAGGTGCTGGAGGGCAGAGTGTACACGCACAGACAAGCAGGAAACTTTTCCAGCCTGGGAGAGAGAGTGGAAACACTCCCCTCCACAGAAGGTCCCACTCTCTGGTCTAGTTCTCTCCTCCCTACACAGCCTTCCTTCTGAGAGGCCCTGCCCACCAGCAGGGAGAGAAGCTCTATGCAATGAGCTCACCCTTCTGCACAGAGAAAGTGGACAGACTGGAGATCCAGCCATCAAATTAGTCCTTTCTGAGTCCTTGTGAATGAAGTGTCCCCAGGTGAAATGATAAAAATGTCTTAGTTTGGGGTATACAACATAATGACTTATATATTACCCGACAAGCTTTTAAGTACACTCAAATTCCTGTTATGTTAAAACAAAAGCAATTCTCTCTTTTCCGCCATGTCTCTGCACCTCATTCTATGAGGCCAGTATTACCTGGATACCAGAAGCAGATAAAGGCATCACAAGAAAACTACAGAGCAACATCCATTATTAATGTAATTTGTTTTTGAATTTTATTTTATTTATTTTTTTATACAGCAGGTTCTTATTAGTTATCCATTTTATACATATTAGTGTATACATGTCAATCCCAATCTCCCAATTCATCCCACCAGCACCCCCCGCTCCCCGCCACTTTCCCTCCTTGGTGTCCATATGTTTGTTCTCTACATCTGTGTCTCAATTTCTGCCCTGCAAACAGGTTCATTTGTACCATTTTTCTAGGTTCCACATATATGTGTTAATATACGATATTTGTTTTTCTCTTTCTGATTTACTTCACTCTGTATGACAGTCTCTAGATCCATCCACGTCTGTACAAATGACCCAATTTCGTTCCTTTTTATGGCTGAGTAATATTGCATTGTATATATGTACCACATTTTCTTTATCCATTCATCTGTCGATGGGCATCTAGGTTGCTTCCATGTCCTGGCTATTGTAAATACTGCTGCAATGAACACTGGGGTGCATGTGTCTTTTTGAATTATGGTTTTCTCTGGGTATATGCCCAGTACTGGGATTGCTGGGTCATATGGTAATTCTATTTTTAGTTTTTTTTTTTTTTTTGTGGTACGCGGGCCTCTCACCGTTGTGGCCTCTCCCTTTGCGGAGCACAGGCTCCAGACACGCAGGCTCAGCGGCCATGGCTCACGGGCCCAGCTGCTCCGCGGCATGTGGGGTCCTCCCGGACCGGGGCACAAACCCGTGTCCCCTGCATCGGCAGGCAGACTCTCAACCACTGCGCCACCAGGGAAGCCCTATTTTTAGTTTTTTAAGGAACCTCCATACTGTTCTCCGTAGTGGCTGTATCAATTTACATTCCCACCAACAATGCAAGAGGGTTGGTTCCCTGTTCTCCACATCCTCTCCAGCATTTGTTGTTCGTAGATTGTCTGATGATGCCCATTCCAACTGGTGTGAGGTGATACCTCACTGTAGTTTTGATTTGCATTTCTCTAATAATTAGTGATGTTGAGCATCTTTTCATGAGCTTCTTGGTCATCTGTATGTCTTCTTTGGAGAAATGTCTATTTTGGTCTTCTGCCCATTTTTGGATTGGGTTGTTTGTTTTTTCAATATTGAGCTGCATGAGCTGTTTATATATTTTGGACATTAATCCTTTGTCCATTGATTCATTGGCAAATATTTTCTCCCATTCTGAGGGTTGTCTTTTCGTCTTGTTTGTAGTTTCCTTTGCTGTGCAAAAACTTTTAAGTTTCATTAGGTCCCATTTGTTTATTTTTGTTTTTACTTCCATTACTTGAGGAGGTAGATCAAAAAAGATCTTGCTGTGATTTATGTCAAAGAGTGTTCTTCCTATGTTTTCCTCGAAAAGTTTTATATGTCCAGCCTTACATTTAGGTCTCTAATCCATTTTGAGTTTATTTTTGTGTATGGTGTTAGGGAGTGTTCTAATTTCATTCTTTTATATGTAGCTGTCCAGTTTTCCCAGCATCATTTATTGAAGACACCGTCTTTTCTCCATTGTATATCCTCGCATCCTTTTTCATAGATTACTTGACCATAGGTGCATGGGTTTATCTCTGGGCTTTCTATCCTGTTCCATTGATCTATATTTCTGTTTTTGTGCCAGTACCATACTGTCTTGATTACTGTAGCTTTGTAGTATAGCCTGAAGTCAGGGAGTCTGATTCCTCCAGCTCTGCTTTTTTCCCTCAAGAGTGCTTTGGCTACTCGGGGTCTTTTTTGTCTCCATACAAATTTTAAGATTTTTTTGTTCTAGTTCTGTAAAAAATGCCATTGGTAATTTGATAGGGATTGCATTGAATCTGTAGATTGCTTTGGGTAGTATAGTCATTTTCACAATATTGATTCTTCCAATCCTAGAACATGGTATATCTCTCCATCTATTTGTATCATCTTTAATTTCTTTCATCAGTGTCTTATAGTTTTCTGCAAATAGGTCTTTTGTCTTCTTAGGTAGGTTTATTCTTAGGTATTTTATTCTTTTTGTTGCAATGGTAAATAGGAGCGTTTCCTTAATTTCTCTTTCAGATTTTTCATCATTAGCATATAGGAATGCAAGAGATTTCTGTGCATTAATTTTGCATCCGGCAACTTTACCAAATTCATTGATTAGCTCTAGTAGTTTTCTGGTGGCATCTTTAGGATTCTCTATGTATAGTATCATGTCACCTGCAAACAGTGACAGTTTTACTTCTTCTTTTCCAATTTGGATTCTTTTTATTTCTTTTCTTCTCTGATTGCCGTGGCTAGGACTTCCAAAACTATGTTGAATAATAGCAGTGAGAGTGGACATCCTTGTCTTGTTCCTGATCTTAGAGGAAATGCTTTCAGTTTTTCACCACTGAGAATGATGTTTGCTGTGGGTTTGTCATATATGTCCTTTATTATGTTGAGGTAGGTTCCCTCTATGCCCACTTTCTGGAGAGTTTTTATCATAACTGGGTGTTGAGTTTTGTCTAAAACTTTTTCTGCATCTATTGAGATGATCATACGGTTTTTATTCTTCAATT